GTAGAAGATTCACTGGCAAGGTACATTCACTTTTTTGTTCACACGCTTGGCATACATCCTCCATGACGAACCGAAAGGATAGGGCGTGGAAGACCTCTCAAAAGGTCACATTCGAACCCCATTACCTCCCCGTCAGACTTTTATAGATGATCCACTCCGGGTCTTACGTGTCATACGCTTTGCGACACGTTTCGGATATGAGATCGATGAAGAGATTGTGCGCAGTGTCGCGGATGATGAAATCAAGGTTTGACTCGTAATAGATTTACTGAAGGTTCAGAGGTTCTCATTTCGATGTCATTGGACCATATTTAGAAAGCTTTCGAACGCAAGATCACGCGAGAGCGAATTGGCGTTGAGCTGAAAAAGATGATGAAGGGCCCGGATCCACTAAGATCGCTACGTTTGATCAAAGAGTTTGGATTTTATGACTTGGTTTTCGTACCACCCGCTGGCCACGAGGTTGAAGTGGATTCCGATCTTGTCCTTCGATTGGGTCAAGCGGTTGAAAGGTGGATCCCTCTTATTTCCTGGCTCCAATTGGAAATGCCTGGTAGCTAACTATTCTGCGGTGAAACAGTTTATTAGCATCGAAGCAATTTGAAAGGTTCTGGGCAGGAGCCATTAAAACTGCTTTCGAACCAGACGATAGACGCCTACTTTACTTGACGTGCGCCGTTGCACCATTTCGGGAATACACATACATAGAGAAGGAGAAGGAGCATAGGCTTAGCAGGGAGGTGATGTTGCAGTCGGTCAAGGTTCGTTGCGTGCTTCGTCCATTCCTATCTGCATTTCTTTTTAACTGCTCTTTGTGACAGCTTAGCAGCTATGATGCCGATGTGACGTCCGCCATTCTTGCGAACCTGGACCACGTGCGCGAAGCGGTAATGAAGCATTACACTCATGGGCTAGATCGGAAAACCCTTGGTAAGCCGTGCCGTTACTTGCGTGTCTTTTATTTTTGGTGCTTAACGGCTGTTTGTCGCGAACTAGGTTTATTTGTTAGACATCTTGGCGGCAAGCCACTTCGTGAAAAATGGCCATTAGCACTTTTGTTTGCGTGGGCATTCGACCTTATTGATAGGCGGGCTTGGATGCGTAGTCATTTGGTGGACGACAGGGGCTTGGAAACAATAACTGCCGATGCATACTGTCATCTCATTCACACAATTCGACACCTTGGACTCGAAGACGCTCAAGATTTCCGACCATGCTTAAATGTAAGTTCACGACACGATCCTCACCCAACCCCTTTATGTCTAAACGCTTATTTAGGGAAAAGAAGTTGCGACGATCTTGGGCATCAAACCTGGACCTGAAATAGGAATCTACCTCCAACGTCTGATCGAACTCCAATTTTCCAAGCCGGAAATCACAAAAGAAGAGTGCAAGCATTTGCTACGATCTGGGTTTTTTGGTGGGGCTGAAGGAAAGTAACAATTGTTTTTTTTGGCTTTACGGTGAGATGTTTTTCTTGGTGTGGTGGTTTGTATATCCTAAATGGAGATGACGATTTTGACGGGCTTTTTTCTCTTTTTTGTTTAAACAGACGAGACAATGGAGTCTTCACCAACACCGTTACCACCACCTCCACCGACCAAGCGATTAAAGACTGATGATGATGGCTGAGGTCTCATCAAGTCAGGTTGAAAGAGGAATTAGATTGAATGCGCGCACTGTACATATAGCATTTTTAATTTAGGGTAGTGGGTATGCGAGACGTATCTATTTACAAGGAATCAGCTATCGGTTATGTACATCATGATGTTGGACTATTAGGTATCTTTGTCGCTTTCATCACTATCCCCGTATTCATGGCAGACTAGGGATGGTGTTTCTGATGGGAATTGGACAAGAGCGGATTGATTCGTTTGGATATCCCTTTCGCTTTCTCTTGAATTCCGTCGGAGAACTACGCCTTCTTTTCCATCAGACGCAGCTAGCGATGATACGCCGTTAGAAGAAGTAGGAGCAAGAGCAAAAGGATCCGCCACTGTTTTGGCTTTCATGTCCAGCACTTTTGCCAGGGCCTTTTTCTCAGTCTTTCCATTGCGTCGAAACACATTTTGTGTTCTGACAATTCCCAATTTTTCCTCCGGTGTCTCTGGCTCTTCTTCCAAATACTTTATCCTCTTTGCGCTCCTCTCATCCTCCTCACTCACAGGTAGCACCTTGACCCCCAACCCAAATTTCTCTGCAACAGCCGCCGCCTCTTTCTCAACCTTAGCCAAGGCCTTCTTCTCCGTTCGGAACTTTCTCCGCATTATTTGGGACAGGGCGTAAGGATCGCTCCATGTTCTATCAGAACGGTCTCGAAGGAGTGTGAGGAGGGGAACGGTTTCAAGGGACGCTTGAATGTTGTTGTTGGTCTGTTCCAGTGCTTCATATGCCGTTTTGGGTGTTTCCGCAGCGGGGTCTTTAAGGGTCGGTAATCCAATATCGGCAGGATCGTATGATTCCTCCCTTTTCCTCGCCCCGCTCACAATAACATACTCTGAATTCTAAAACCATGATCAGTAAAACATCTCAACATACACCCCAAAATCCAAACAGATACCTTTGGATCCGTCCTGATTTCAATCCACCCAGAACATAAATGACACTTCATACGAAAACTCCATATAGGTGTACTGTAATACATATCGACTTTCTTCTTCTCGGCATTGTACCGGACGCCCATCCCCACATGATTATTACACGACGTGCACCAAATGTTAAAGGGGAGTTCGAATCGAATAATGAGAATGCCCTGATCGAGTTTGCGGGCACGTTCGCGGAGGGGGTGTTGGCCTACATAGGTGTTGATGGAGCCTTTGGAAGGGTCCCAGTCCGGAGGGTAATATTTATTTGTTGCCCTGCGGTCTGGTAAGAGGATTAAGCATCGAAAGTAGAACTAGTTCTACAGGAGGAAGGGTAGAAGAAGCTTACCGGCCATGGTTAGATTGTTGGGAATGAAGTTTGCGCTTTCCACCAACTTTGGACGTGGCTGATCGGTACTTGTCAGTATGGCGCAGTTTAACTCCACGTGATCCTATTACATAATCAGCGGAGAGTTGAGTGTGATCGCTACGGGAAGGGTGATACAACTGTGCTTGGAAGACGAATGATAGCGGAAGGATTCATAATGGTAAATGAATGTCCTACTTGGTAAATGCAGAAGTGGTACGTACCCTGCTGGGCATGGAGCATAACCCCAACTGGTGTTTCGGAAGAGCAGAGGCCCAACAAGCGTTACTGTCACCGTTGAAGATGGATTAGGTATGAACACGGCCTGCATGTGCATGGAAATGCTACTCTGCAAGGTGTACAGGCTACAAGCACAACATATGTATCAAAATCCTTTCGTGGTGCATCTGTCACTTCAGATGGATCAGGCATTCTCAGGTCGAAATATTACATCTTCTACAAACACTGATGCATTGGGAAATCTTGTAGACAACAGCAATCTGACGCTTAACCGCATTCGATTGATCACAAACAGCACTGGCAGCACTTTGTCAAGTGGTTCTTTCCTCACAATGGATGGAGCTGCTTTAAGCAAGAAGATGTAATTCTTCTGTTGATGTTACCTTGCGCGAAAGAAATTCCTCTGTGCACCAAACCATTACCGGGACAAACGACACGTCAAGTGGATCTACGTGGATTGTTTCAATATTAGAGTAACTTTTAGGCGAAACATGAATACTGTAGGTGGTAGCATTATCTATTCAGATGGCATCAGGATAGCGAAATCCTCTGCACATCGGTGGAAGTTTAAGGTGCGGGCGATGACAAACCTGAATAGTGCTACTGCATTCTCTAGCAGACTGTCTGGCGCTGGACTGTTACTTACTATAACTGAGCACCTTCTTCTATGACAAGCGCATTGATCATAGCAGGAGGATTTCCTTCCGGAAAACATGTGGACCTACTCTGTACATCGATGAAACTTTGATTCTTAACAACAGCGTCACTGTAGATGTACATCTATTGGCAGAGATAAGAGGGAACTTTGGTGCCGGTAAATATCACTATCCTTATGGTTTCTCACTTTTCACTCGCAGGGCTGGCCTTCAGGGGCCACCTACTGGTATTATGGCACTGGCGTGTTAACGTGGTTGAAGGCAATTATCAGCTGGAGCGCCGTATTGGAAGCAACATCCTCCACTGTAGGTAGGTGGCATCGTTGCCGCAACTCAGCTGGAAAGTCTCTTATATTACCGTACAATCTTACTATTCTCGTACCGAAGCAATAAGATCTCCCGAGATACAGGTTCAGGTAGGGAAATGCAAGGATATCTGGATTGATGACATTGAACACAGCCACCAGCACCATGGGTATGCTCCCACAACGAACGCTACAGAGTCGACCAATACTACAACAGGTGCTTTGACAACTGCCGGCGGCGTGGCAATTCAGAAAATGCACCACCAACGGCAATGCTTTGACGCTAATGGACTAATATACCAATGTGTTCACTGCAAATAGGCACCGCGACCGTGATTGGTAGATTTCTTCAGACGAATATTACTGAGACGACCTCAGTTACAATGTGTATTGCCATGCTTTCCGGTGGCATTCGATGACCAAAGCATCGTTTCGAGGCAACAATGTCAATGTTTAAAATATGTTAGTCTTGGCATCTACGAAAAGCGGTATTCCCTCGGTGACTGTCAGGCTCTTCAGACATTCTGATTGGCATCATGCATGGGTTTCGTCTTAGGGTGAAATTAGGGATATTGTGGGTATCTGATAATAGATAAAAATGATCGCGATAGGTCGGCAAGCTTCCTATGGCGAACGTTATGAACGGTATCGACGTCGAGAGTTTTCTGCAGCAAATCAAGCCGTTATCCCATTCAAAATGCTTGAGTGCCAGGGCATCAGCCGGAACCAATCGACTGCACAGCTCCTGCATGCCTGCAATCCAAAGTAATCTCAGAGTTGCAATCGGGATTAGGGTGTTCCTTAGCTTTTCTATAAGGCCCGTCGGTTTCTCTTGCCGTAACAAAGAATGCTTCGAAACCCCTTCTGCTGTGCAGATGTTTGACTTTGCATATCAATGATTTGTCACACCCTTAGATGTACGATGCATCGATAAATGTTTTATGCAAAGGTATCCCGAGTGTGCCGTGCCGTTCCTAACCATCTCTTCAAAACGCAAGGGCGGCCATAAGTGTTGGTGATATTGAGTTCACCGACTTGATTCGCCGTCCTCGGTACCCTTGCTACGGTTGAGTAAAGACCAAAAACCCATTCTGCGTGGTGCATATTTTTGACTTTGCATATCAACGATTCGTCTCGCTCTTAGATGGACGATCGATGGATAAATGTCTTATGCAAAGATATCCCGAGTGTGCCGTGCTGTTCCTAACCATCTGTTGAAAATGCAAAGGCGGCCTTAAAAAGTCCGGAAGGTATCCATATCGGGCGCTTCATTGTCTTGCTGCGTTTCAAGGCAAACTGAAAAAAGAATCTTGAAGGCAAAATGAAAAAAGAATCCCACTCACTTTTGGACGTCGGCTGCAGGATTCGAACCTGCGCTCCCAGAAGGAAATGGCTTAGCAGGCCACCGCGTTAACCACTCCGCCAAACCGACACCATGCCTTACAAATACTTTCCAGACAGATTACTTTCCAATACATATTATTCCTATTCACCACCTATTACCCACCACATTAACCACTCTGCCAAACCGACCCCATGCCTTACAGATACTTTCTAGACAGATTACTTTCCAACACCTATTATTCCTATTCAATTGCATAGGAGAATCTGGCACGACTAGACGTAGATTTTTATGATGCGTTTGTCTTTTACTCACTTGCTACATCGTCCAGACAAATTACTTTCCAAGACCTAGTATCCCTTTTCACCATCTATTACCCATCCATACGTAGTTCAACTTGCAAATACTTTTCAACACCCATTACCCATCTATACAAGAATAATTATACACATTCTATTACCCACACACACAAGAAGTAGATCAACTTGCAAATACTTTCCGACGTAGGATTGAGTAATAGTGTCAGTGACAGATACTTTCCGACGTAGGATTGAGTAATAGTGTCATCGATGACTTACAGATTACTTTCCAACATCTATCACTCCTTTTCACCAGCTATTACCCATCCATCCACACAAGAATGAGACTACAGCATACGGATTACAGAGGAACAGCACAGATATCTGCGTTCTATGGCTCATTAATACATCTTTCCAACACCTTTTACCCATTAATACAAGAATGGAACTATTGCATTTTAGGTCGAGTATTTTGGGTAGCTGAGATATTATATACTATATCGTTCAAAACTGATGATACGTGTTTTATATCTTGATTATGCTTTACTGTATCATTTTTATGATGCATTTGTCTTTTACTCAATTGCTATATCGTGATCAATCAACGTATTTAGTATGTCCAATTTTTAGCATTCAGTATTTGGTTGTAAAAACAGAGGTTTAAGTGCTTTGGGTTATGTATGGAGGCAAACTTTTTGTCGCCATCGCGGATTGATAGCAAGGAGCGTATAAATCAGAACTAGATCAGCTCCGTTGTGTCGTAGCTACGACTTTCAAGACCCGTGGGAAATAATGTCAATCTCTACATACACATCACAATGCTTCATGTTTGCCATTTGGGCTTTGTTTCCCGGGCTCTACCACGCTTCCCACGAAGCAAAAGTCTGACTGAGCTTGAAAGGTGCAACCTTTTCCTCGTTGTAGCTGCATTTTTACCCGCAGTCCTTCTTTGTCAAAGATGATTCGTTGCCATTCTGCACAAGAATCCCTTTGCAAACCTTATGTGATTGCCGAGCGAAAAGTCTTTTCGCAGGGCAGTGTACAGTACCCCGTCACGCCCATGGCCATCAATGCACTTGAGGTTATTCAAAATCGAGTTACCTGTTGTCTAAATGCTCACCTTTATCATACAATTAGCAAAATGTGCATTCCACTGTTGTCAAACTGCATCAAAGCAGTTATGCTAATCTCCGGAAAATAGCGCTGATTTTCGTCTGTAGTTTACTTTATATTTTGATAAGTACTTAAAGTTTAAATATTTGTCCGTATTCCACCGAGCAAGCAGCTATAGAGTAGAAGGTCTATAAGCAAGCTCGGGAAATGGCTCACTTTTGTTTCAAGATTGCCGTTTGCGGATGCTGGAGGTTAGAGTGTTGTTTTGAATTGCATCAAACAGTTTCTTATGGTGTGGATACAGAGGATTGACGAAAGAATTGTTGAGAAGCTGTTACATGTGCCGTGATGGTGACCTTACCTTCGACCAGATTTGGTTGAATGTTTTGACGTTGCAAGGACAGTCCGGCTCTCAAGGTGATGTTGGGCGGTGCCATAGGGTCGGGGACCATCTAAAGATGAAGATCTGCAAGAAGATGCAATTCGAAAAGATACACTTCCTATCATCTTAAAACCCATTTCATTTACCTCACCACATCCCACCAGCATTTCATGAATAGGGAGATAAAGCTCCCGGGATCTTGACCTAACCAACTTCAGAGCTCTGACCCTTCGAGGCCACCAAGTCTTTGCATGTCGTGGAGTCTGCATAACATCCAATACGTTGCAGTTTCAAAGGGATTTTTGGCTCTATGGGTTGCATTTGTTGGAGGGTTGGCAACAGGGCTGAGTCGAGCGCCAAACGCTCTTCGAACAGAATCCTTTCGCATGAGATTATCGATGTCTTTACGAACATTAGGAGGCGCCAGTTTTGATGCGGTTGTTCCGCTTTCGGAGACCCAAATAATACGTCGATAATCTTATCGTCGTTTTTAACAGGTACAGTTTGCCAAAGATCTCACGAGGGCAAGGGGTGTAATTTCTTGAATTCGGGATATCGTCAACTTTTTAACGCACTGGCGCTCATGCTCGACTCTTGTGTCCTTGATTTCATGGGTACGCCTTTGTATTTCTCGGCAGTAATGACCCACGCATGTGGAGCTTGCGGAAATAGGAACTAGTAAAGTTACGAGTTCTCAGCACCTTTAACAGGGCGTCGCCAAAAGGGAGTTAGGACGATTTCGGGCAGGTCCGACACCATCGTTTCCTTCTGACAAGGGTGTTAGTTTAAATGAATAAATACCGCTCCTGGCGAAGTTACTTTCGCAGCTCTCTGCTCCATGTGTCGCAGCAAGGTGGGCTTTCAATGTTATAAGTGATGCACTTAACCTGTCATCAAGATGCTGGGACAAAATGCGGATGCCTCTGGTAGCGACGCCTTGCCAGGATGATTGGCTATGGTCATGCTTCATCCAAGGATGCCGAAAACCAAGGTACCATGGATTCTTAGTCACAAACATGACTGGACCTGCAAAGAAGCAGCATCATCTGGGGCATATCTCTTTCAACCGTGGCTGCAGCAGCTGACCATGATGGGTCGTCGCTCATATTTCAAGAGGAGCCGCTTGCGCTGAGTGGAGAGGAATATGAAAGAGCATTAGAGAGGAAAAGAAGGACCAGACGGAAGGGTTGTTGAAAAGGTGCGTATGTGTGCAAAGCCAATGGCGGAGAGCCGTATACGTAGCAACGGACAAGAATGCGTTGGCTTCCTGGATCTCGCCGAATGCCACGACCGCCATCATCTTTCTGCTGGTTTGCGTTAGAGGGTGAGCGACCAAATAGCATGAGACCTCGGTCCTCGAGGGTTTCGATCACAGCCTTTGCAAAGGAGTCCATTGGGGGCTTAACCAAACTCGGACGATGAGGGGAGAACTTCTGGCAATGACTTTGCCATCTCATTCCCACAATGGATGGAAAAGACCGATGGATGATGAAATCTTGTGGCTGCAACAGAGATCTTCTAACAATAGCCCTCTTGTCATGATGCAAACCGAACCGATACCATCCTCGAGAAAGTCCACAAACCGCTTGTCTCAGTCTTCAAACGCATTTTGGTCTTTTGAGACTGCCCACATTCCATTTTGCACCTAGCCACTCATCGAGATGGCAGAAAGTCCAGCATCATCGTTTGGAACCTTGCCAACAATTCTCAGCGCATCACTTCAGTAAGTCGCACTCCTTTCATATGCTTCAGCAGCTCGACCGATTTTACCCAGTTTGGATGGCCTACACCAACCACCGTATTTTCTGTAGACCATAACGCTGAGTGGGTGTGTACGGCAGGGTAGTATGGCGTCATCTCGACTTTCAGAGAGTTGCAAGATGAAAAAAAAATATCGAGCACCTCCATACCTCGGGTCCAGTGTGCCTGATGGATGGATGTTTTCAACATTGTGGATTTCCTTTGATAACCTACGAAAAGCTCGCAACTGAGCTATTGTGTTTTCTCCCTCTGTGCCCAACCTTAAAGGCAAGGTTCTCGTCGGACGTTCGATAATCGTGTCATCAACGTTTCAAATTTTAACGAAGATGACGATGACATACAACATGGTCAAGTGGGGAACGTCCACCTTGAGAAATTGAAAACAGCGAATGTTGAACCAAATTTGCTTTGTGATGTACTGTCGCTTCAGATCAGATCAAGAACCGCTTGCACGGAATCCCATTGTTGAATGCGTTGCATGGGTAAGCTCACGAGTAAAAGCATGGCCAAGTCAACAAAGACGAATATGCTGGCGACCCTTAATGTGCTGAAAGCTTTCAAGGTAAAGCTGCATCTACCTTGCGTTTGTCTTTGGTACCGATCAATTTAGAGATGAGCACGGGTGGTGGTGTCGGCAGTGGCCAGAGTCAAAGTTTAGAGCGGAGCTCAAAGCAACTAAAGCAGAACGGTGGCGAAAGACACATCAGATTATGTGCGAGCAAGGATTTCATAGCTTTAAGCTGAACGTGTAGCTTTTTTAAAGGCATGAAACGAATGTGACGAGAAGTCTGGTGGAACAACAGCTCATGACAATGTTGAGCATGAACGCACAAGACGCCGAAGAGTCAGACACAGGAGATCGAGTCACGTAATGTAGTTGTCTGAAATGACACTGCCCCCGTAAGTCGCTATCAAGTTCAGCAAAGGATCGTTCTTCAGTCTGTTCCCGGTTTTCATCTGCTTCTGCAATCCCGGTTACTTGAGCGCCTGCCAAAGTGATTACAAGGTATAGGCAAAAACTTTAAGAGTGTCCTTCTGGGCGTACAGGAATATGTGGATGACGATATTGGGCACCTAGAAGGTTCTAAGGTAAATTAGTGGGAAGCCTTCCTTGGAAAGAAAGGTCCCAATCGGTAGGGTAACGTTTGCTTGCTGCCCTATGTCCTGATCAGAGGATTTAGCATGGAAGGTGGAATTGCAGAAGGTAGAAGATTGTTGTTGGATGCGACATGCTGATCGGGTCTTGTCAGCATGGCGCCGACCTGCGCCACATTAATTTGTTACATAATCAGCGGAGAGTTCGGAGGCGACGCTTCGAGACGAATGGTCATTCAGTTTCTACCTGCGGCCTCTGTGGAGTGGAGGCATGCTCTATATCCTGTCTAGATTGTATGTAGCAATATCGAGTATATTCTCTATATTCTCTACTTGTTCATATTCCCTGCACAGGTTTGCAACACAACTGTTCTGTGCCCAAATAGGTCAAGCTCCAGTCGTATGTCACAAGATTCAAGGAGTACGCCGAGACAAAGATTGAAAACTGCCAAGCAACAAACACCCCTCACATGTTTGCAATGTTGTCACAAAGCCATGCGAATATTTATCTCATACAATATGTGTGAGCCTGGTATGCCAAGTGGGGATGAGCTATTTATAGATGTTCCGCCATTGTTATTTTAGTGCTTGGCGGGAATACCCCTCCGAAATGTTGGGTGTAGTTGCTGAAAATACCTTGGGTAAAAAGAAAAATAACAAGAATGCTGTAGCCAAGAAAATGTCGCTGAGCAGTGCGTGATTTATATAAAGAGTGTCCGATACAGGAAACGTAGCATTTTCGCAATAACTGATTTCTTCTTTTGCAAGACACTTTTGATTTGTGGATTGTGAACATATACCCTCAAGACAAACACCTTCGAACGAAAAACAACCATACCCGACACAACCGACGCATCCGACATGCCGAGCCATCGCGCCGTGTACCCAAGTGCGTACGACGAGGACCCATATGCCCGATACAGCGGCCCACCTCCACCCCAAAACCCCTACCACCACCGTCCCGCATACCCCAGTCCCCGTGAGTACGAAGATGATGGATACGAACCCAGACGAGCATACCCGCCTGTGCACCACGCACCCAACTATGACCACGAATACGACCGTCCGCAGTATGACCGTCAACCAAGAGGACCTCCACCACCACGGGCGCGACAGGAAGCATGGACACCTCCCGAGGGCGCCAAGAAAGGGAAGAAAGAAAAGAGAGATAAAATAGAGCGATACGAGGAGGAACCCAAACCGAGTGATGATAATGTCAAGAATCGGAAATGCCATGATGTGTTTTGGCTCATTTTGTTTATCATTGCTTTTGGAGCCATGGTTGCGATTGGATACTATTCAATTCGGTACGGAAACGTCAATCGTCTCTTATATGGTCGGGATTCAGAGGGTAACCTCTGTGGATCCATCAATGGTACTGATTCCGCCCGTGATCTTCGTAACGAAACGTATCTCTACTATTTTGACCTTGACGTGAACAACACGTACAAGAGGTGTGTCTACGAGTGTCCTCAGCACACGGCTGACTACAATTATATTGTGTGTCCATATGACATTTCACCTGCATCCGACGTCCAAGGTCGGATGTGGCAGGTTGGAAATGGAACATGTACCCTTACGCTTCAATCTGAAGCCGTTTTGCATCGGTGTATACCCACGATTTTGTTGGCGGACATTCGAGCGGCTGCGAATGCAACATACTACAATCAAACCTTCCAGTCGACGGCGTCGCCAAATTGGGGGAAAACACTCTCATTAGATTTCAATGGTCGAGACGTTGCTACAATGATTTTCCAAGACCTTGCTGAAAATTGGTGGGTCATTTCGGTCTGTGTTGGAGCAGCATTCATCTTGTCGGCGACATGGTTGTTGCTTCTGCAGTTCTTTGCGGGGTTCCTTGTTTGGTTCACGATTTCGCTGGTGTTGCTTGCTGGATGGGGTCTGGCGGGGTACTTTATTTATAATTACTTGAGAATTACGGTGTTGCATCAAGGGTTCTTGGGGACTGGATTTGGGCAAGTGGATGCGGCCCTTTACAATGAGAAGCTGTTATTGACGTTGGGTAAGTCCTGCTTTGTTTTGTTAATTCTAGTGGGTTCCTGACCCGGTTTTTTGTTTTTAGGTTGTGTGATTGGTGGTATCGCCCTCATCCTTACCCTCATCATCCTATGCATGCTCCGTCGAATTCGTCTTGCGGTCCGAATCATCAAAGAAGCAAGCACATCCATGAAAGCCATGCCCATGATTGTTTTCTTCCCGTTCTTTAAGTACCTTGTGCTCCTTATCTGGATGGTTGTGTTTATCGGCGTGATGGCCCTCCTTGCCACATCGGGTGACGTGATTGCCGGTGCAGTAGAAGCAGATATTAATGAAGGATTGAGCAATATTGGGAAGCATTACTCGTCATCGGGGACGTTACAGTACCTGCAAGTGTATTTCGTGTTTGGGTTCTTGTGGGTTTACAACTGGATTGTCGCGATCGGGCAGTGCACAGTTGCTGGAGCCATTGCGTGTTGGTACTGGGCCCGAGACAAGAAAGCCCTTCCTTCCCTCCCTGTTCTCAAATCCTTCGGTCGGACCCTCCGATACCACCTCGGTTCGCTGGCGTTTGGTTCACTCATCATTGCCATCGTTCAGTTGATACGTCTCCTGATTGTTGAGGCGCAACGACGGGTCAAGGGAACAGGAAACAAGGCAGCACAATACTGTTTGTGCTGTCTCCAGTGCTGCTTCAAGTGCATTGAAAAGCTGTTGAAAATGTTGACAAAGAATGCATACGTTGAGATCGCCGTCTATGGATACAGTTTCTGTACGGCCGCAAGGATGGCGTTGGAGATTATCGCTGCGAATGCACTTCGGTAGGTTTCAAGTGGATATTTCTACAGTGTGTTGAGCTCTGGCTCACGTACCCGCTTTTAGCATCATCATTGTCAACAAAGTCAGCAATTTCCTCATCTTCATCGGCAAACTCGCTGTTGTGTTTATCACAGGTCTTGGAGGTCTCGGCCTAATGGTCTACCTCGAAAAGGACACCGAAGTCTTCGCCAACTATGCCGTTCCCCTCGTGGTAAGCATCCTCTTGTCGCGTTTGTCTCTTCGACAAAGAACCTAACACACACTATAGTTTATCATTATCTTCTCCTACATCACCGCAACCGCCTTCCTCTCCACTTTTTCGATGGCCATCACAACCATTTTCATTTCGTTTTGCGAAGACTCACAACGGAATGATGGTTCCAGGGAACGACCTTACTACATGTCAAAGGGATTGCAAAAGTTTGTGGATAAACATGCGCATGATAAACCGGTAGTGTAGGCTGACGATGTGATGGGGGATGGGGGCATTTTGTATCGTGAATTCGTTTGTTTTGATAAATGAGCTTTCGAGGGGATTATGCAGGATACTTTGCTTTTGTCAGTCAAAATGTGACAACGACTTGGATGCAAAAGACTTTCGAAAAAATGATGATATATTCATATACTACTCATGGATACAGCTTTACAGTACAAGAAATGGTATAATGACAGACATTCATGATGATCCCAAACACTATAGACCCTTCCTACAAAACATACTCAACTCTTACGCTGCCGTAGGATGCGCAGCAGCACTCGGATGAGCCGTGGCTATCTCACTCGGGTGCACAGACGTACCACCAGGCCCAGCAACATCAAAACCTGCCCCCGAAGGCGCCGGAGCCGGAACCGCAAACGAAGGGAATGCTTCAAACGATGGGAAAGGGGCGGTAGGACTGCCTCCACCTCCTCCACCACTACCGCCGTCGCCGCCGCCTGAACCGCCGCCTGGACCTGCTACCATGGGTGCACCGCTGGGAGCTTCTCCGCCGATTGGAGCCGGGTGAGTGGTTGTAGTTCCTGGACCGGCAATCTCGACATTTTGGGGGAACCCCTAAAAAATGTCAAAGTCGTTTTAAAACATCAAAAAGGAAACTTTGACAAAAGAAAAACAAACGTACATACCCAAACGCTTCCCATCAATACGCTAGCCAAGAGGATGGAGAAGATGGTTCGCATGGTTGCTTGAAACTGTTCCGTGTTGGTTCTCGACGATGGGTGATGATGAAAAGGGGGATGGATCGGGACCCGGTGCCTTTTTAAATGGTTGGTGTGGGAGGGTGATGGAAGATGCTCTGTGTGTAGTTGGGATATCTGCGTAATGTTGCTGGTTTCATTCCCTGCTGGTTTCAGGCAGAAAAGGCCTTGTTTTGGAACATGCCATGAGGATCAACGAAGGCAGTGCAGAGAACAAGATGGTACAGGGAATGAACGAAAAAGGTGGGTCTTGTTTGACTCTATACTTGTTGTCTCGGATTGACTTTCTTCTCCACACCTTCTATTGAGATATGCCATGAAGAGCGAGTCACGATTGAGGTTCCAGGTCATTGACCAAAGAAATAGGCCGGTTTTTGCAAGAACATGTCCCTCCAAGGTTCCAAATCAGCGGTGATGTATACCCACATTATCTGCATCAGCGCCCTGCTTGTTGTCTTGACTGGGATCGTTTTCTTCTCCACATCGTCCATTGAAACATGAATCGAACACCGACTCAAGATTAAGAGTTCCAGGTCATTGAGAACAAGAGCTGGACCACTCGTGCACACTTTGCAGGAACATGTACATTCCCACCAAGGTTGCAGATCAGCACAATTACGTATGTGTGCTTTCATTATCTGCATCCTAGAACCCTGATTCCTGTCTTGAATGATCTCCTTCTCCACACCGTCGTTGAGACATGCCATGAAGAGCGACTCAACCGTTGAAGTGTTCCAGGTCATTGACCAAAAAAACTTGGCGGTGTTTTGCAAGAACATGTCGCTGCAAGGTTCCAAATCAGCGGCACCGAAGACTAATGTAGGCCTGCATCCAAAACCCTTTGGTTTCTGTTTTGCAACTCGTACAGCCAAGATGAATGCCTCTGCCGTCATCAGGTACGTTTAGTGAAAATGAGAAACTTGATAAAATGATCTGAGACGGGGCAGAAATGTGGAGGTCTTGAACATTCTAAACGCTGGAGTTCCAGAACGTATTTTTTTGCGAGATAGTCAAACTTCATACTATTAATGCTATAGCTCCACAGTACAAGAAATGATATAACTCCTATGAATGTGTTCAACGGACAAGTACAGCGGTGTTTGATTTGAACTATACGGGACTTTTGTAGTACTTCATATGCTCCTTAACAACCAATTATCCACTGAATACATCGATACAAGTTGTATATGACGCAGAATATCATCGATACATGCACCAAATATATTTTGGTAACAAGGAAAATCGTCGACGGCCAACATGTCCATTATTGAGTTATGCCGATCTAAAACTCACTGTGTAGAGTGTGTCATGGCAGATAACTATTTACATCGACTCACATTTGGTAGAAGTTTGTCCTGCAATCGAAATGTCTCTCCAGCAAGAAGTAGATTGCCTTGGGTGCAGCTACCGGTGTTGCTGTCCTTGAGAAGTATCATCTCAACAAAAAACATCCGTTGAAGCTTCCTTTTTGCATGTCACTAGGAACCTAGAATGCTCGGCACCAACGCTCTGATGACGGCCACCGTCATGATGCCTAGAAATGGCTTGCATTCCAGCGCTCGGCGTGATAGGCGTGTGTGTGAAGGGCAGAGAAGATGGACAAGATACCAGCGTTAAAAATTCGCTCTTTTCCACTTTTATAAACAGCCCGCTGTTAGTTTGACATCTGTGATCTGCCTCAACCTCTTCCTTCTAACGTCTTGTTCTTTAAGTTCCCTCGCCGCTCAACATGGCAATCCAATTTGGTGTTGAAGAACTTTACCCTTCTGACGATAACAGCAGTCTACTTTTATGTTACGGTGATCATGTAGTTTTTTGCCTCACCATCCAGTATAATTCTGATTTACAAGTATCTGAACATCCTCCATTCAAGCTTTGGACGCAAAGGCCTGGTAGGATACGGCTTGGTGGGCGCTAGTTACCACAGTTAGAGCAATCGTAATGGATGCCTAGGTTGGAAGGAAATATTCAAAAGAGCATGTCATGAATGGTTTGTGGTTTTCTCCATTGTTAATAATAATATACAGTTTCTACGCTCTAGGTATAGTCCTCAAGATCCATGCACAACCAAGCCCATTTTTCCCGGAATTAAAAAAAAGTCCAAGGCAACTACGAATGTTCGGCACCAACGTTCTGATGATGGCCACCGTCATACTGTCCGCCATCATGATGGCCAGCATCATCCAAATTTCCTCGCGCCAATCCATCGAAAAGAACTTTTTCGCTCGTTTGTCGAATAGTTTCCAGGCTTGCTTGATCAGAGAGAGGCCGTGGTCGGACGGGTTGGTTCATCAATGGATCAAGTCGGTCTCCGTCGTTCAGTACATGTTTGGGCATGGATGTGGAGATTTCAAGACGATGACGAATCAGAGCCCATGGCCAGCGCTGTTGGACTGCTTCCACGACTTTTTCGCGAACATGACACCGGAGATCGAATGCTTTGGATGGGTCTTGAGCGGAAGCTAGAAAGCGAATTTGAAGGAATCCATCTGATGTCACGTCTGTCACAGCGCAATTGGCCACTTTGCCGTCCCAGAGTCCACCCGAGGAGGGAAGGACCTTGTCCATGTAGATTGTGCGGAGGGCGTCTACGGGAACGGATGGGTCAAGGTAGATAAATATAGTTCCAATTTTCCAGGGGGAGCGACGGGACCAGTTTTCGAATGTTGAGGTAAAGATGCGGGAGAGGGGAATAATGAGTCGACGGGCGTCCCAAGTCCGGACGACAACATACATGGAGTGAATGGCTTCTACCCGGCCATATTCTCCATCAATAATGACTTCATCATCAAGAAGAATCGGACGTGTGACGGCAATGATCAAGCTTGATAGAGAGTTTTCGAGAATAGGCTTTGCGGCGATACCAATAATGATGCCCATGACTCCAGCTGAGGCAAGGAGAGACGCTCCGATTTGCCATGCGGCGGGAAAGGTGAAGACGATGCAAGCCGCGCAAATGACTGCGATGAAGCCATAGCAGAGACGTTTGAAGACTTGGACTTGGGTGTGAGCGATGCGGGCGTGGAGGTTGTTTTCAGATTCGACCTTATTTGCGCGGATAAGAGTTAAAGCTGCCACTGTTGGTCAAGACAAAGACAAGGTTAGCTGCTTTTTGGTTGCATGTTTCCGTCGCAACTCGGTTTTTTTGCCTGGGCTCCATCCATCCGTTGGAGTATTTTCCACCTCATCCTTCTTGTGCAGAATACATACATCTCACCATGTTACAAGCCAAATAGCCAATCCCAGCAATCAACAGGACGATAAAGATCCTCTGAACCGTGACAAAGGTATTTGGATCGACACTTATGTTTGCAAGTGCAACGAGGACGGCAATGATTGGAAACAGGACAAAGAGCGGCCATTTGCTATCAAAGCGAGCATGAGCAAACTTTGTACAGCACACAAAAAGCGCAACAACAGCAAACATGTTGAACAAGGTACCTGTAACAGACCAACTCATCATCAAATGGCCAAGGCGTCTTGCGAGCAGCCCAGCGCAAGAGGAGAAAGAGGAGTGTGTGAGCGATCCAAGATATGAGCACTGCAGCAATGGGAATGACAATCTTTTGCCATGTTTCGCTGATCATTGTAAATCAAGGAGGTTGCAATCTACACACACACACACACGCGCACAACGACGCACACACACAAGCATGCACACTGCGCACACGCACACACACAAAAGAGCAAATGGTGCAGCAAGTGCACACCAAATCCCTGCATATAAAAACAAGAAAACTACGACGAATGATGGACAATATTGATATATTAATAATTGTTTTGAATATCGATCTATCGATGAAGTCATCTCCATCCCCCAATCCATCCCATCCAAAAAAAAAAAACAAAAAAACGCCCATCAAATAAATGATCATCCCCATCCAAATAAAAAAAGTAGCGCGTAAAGTTCAACCGCCGAACTTTTCACACTTCTGACGTCAGCTCGTTAATCACGTGTACTCATGTGATATTCTGCTTTCACGTGATTTAATAACTGGAGTTGAAACTTCATCTATTGCAATGAACACCACAATTGAAGGCGTTCTAAATTTCTACTATTGCAACAGGTTGCTAGTGACATGGAAAAAGGAACGTTTCAACGGGTTTTTTGTTGCTTTTGAGCAAATCCTGCATGGCTTGTAGTGTCCAAAACGTTGTCGCAGTTGCAGATCCACCGCGGAAAGCGATGACTGCCTGTCTTTTGTGCCTTTGTATCAATTTGTTCCGCGGTAAAAGAGTAGTGGTTAGCCAAGAGCTTTGCAGCACCATCATTGCTGAAACCCGCAAGATGTGATCATTAATAGGATGATAGTCTCGTGTTTGGAGGATTTCCGCGGACAGGAAATAAGCAGAGGAGAAAAGACGCCAAGAAGCTCCAATTCTAAATCCTATAAGAGCACGGCACCTCGCAGCAAAGTACCGTTTCTTGGTATCCTCGAGCACGACTACACAACAAGAAAGACAATGTACAAGCTTCTTTTACTTCTCTCCACTGCAGCGCTCGTCAGCGCGCACGGCCAGCTCAAAGAACCTGCGCCCCTTTCTAATAAGTTTGTCCGAATCGGTGCAGACTGTGGTAAAGGTGCTGATCTCGCTGCCGCAAAGGCTACTGGAAACTTTCAAGCTGGACAGGAAGCGACTGTCAAATGGTTCATCTTGAACGGTGATGGTGGAGGTCCACGTATGTATCCAACTTTCTTTTTGTTTCTAATCCACCTAGTGTTTTGTGTATTTTTTGCTCATCTCAATACCCTATTCTTTTAGTCCAAGTCGGATTCGACACTACCGGAAAGGGCACATCGTTCGATGTCAAGGCCGCCATCACCCAAGACGCACCCGGCCAGAATAGGAAAGCACCCAAGGGCACGACAAAGCAAGCCCATGACGTTAAATTCACCGTTCCCGCCGACTTGAATTGCCCCGATACCGGATGCGTCATGCAAATCAAGCAAGCTGGCAATGGAAACGGATTCGGATCTTGTGCCCTTGTCAATGTTAACGGTGGTGCCGGCGGTAATGCCGCTGGGGAGGCTAAAGCAGTAGCAGCCGCGACGGCTGAAGATGGAGCGGCTGCCGCAAAGGGCAAAGACGCTGCTGGCGACGCAAAGGGCAAAAAGGCTGCGGGTGACGCTAAAGGGAAAAAGGCAAAGGGTGCCGACAAGAAGGCCGCAAAGGCCAAGAATGCGGCTGCCAAGAAGGCTGCTGCCAAAGCCAAGAAGGGAGCCAAAAAGGACGCCGCGGCCGCCCGTCGATTTCGTCACCGTGCCCAATAATCATCTACGAATCGCTTGAATGCCTAGAGATCTGGTGCAGTCTGTATTTATCTTGTACAAAGAAGCAAGTCCCCACGCAAACACTGTGGGTGGATGTTGCGGATTTCTGTAAACAATGTTGAAGTATATATATATATATATGAAAAATACCAGCATACTTTGCAATGATGTTTTGCTCAGTGCAATATTATGCTACTACTAGGAAGCAGCGCTAAACGGGGCATCTACTTGCTATGTAACTTGATCTCAAATGAAGATGCTCGCATATGTCCAAAGCATCCTCAGAACGCCATCCGTCCTGGTGGATGGATCTCCATAACTAACATCCATCGTGAGTCCAAAATTTGAACACCTTCCAAAACCTCCTTGGCTTCCTCCCTCCATCCATCGTTATCTCACTTCCGGGGCTGCTAGATGCAAGTGTACAAAGTGCATGGACGGGTCGTGTATCAAAATCCGAAAGAATGGATGTATATGAGATAAGAGGTGAACTGGGGTTTGAGTGGAAAAATGTAGATGTAGCATTGGATCGCTCCATTTTTGGATATTCTTCAAAGATGTGAAATGTCTGTGGTTCACATGGTAGCGTTATCTGGGAAGTGGATGGTGAACTGTCCTCGAGGCAAGAGTGGAGTGGGTTCAGTGTTGCATTGCATCGTTGCATTTCCATTGTGACAAAGGTCAAGTCGTTGGCGAATTGTTGCAAAATCCTGGACAAGAGTGTACACTCATTTTATGTACTCTCTGCATATCTACCCCACACTAGCAATTCAGCCGTCTCCCGGCTGTGCAAAAAAATCGGCGGAGAAATACACTTCGGACTTCACGTCAAAATAAAACCCTCATCGACTGGCCCATTGTTTAGGGGCTGACCGCATCGAATTGACGGGCAAAGGTCAACACATTGACGTTTTTTGTTTTGATTACCACATGTGTCTTTCATTGGGTCATTGCCTTTATTTTTAATCCTCCGGTTTACCATGACATGTGGATCAGAAGCCCGCGGGAGTTTGAGTTTGTGTTTTGGGGATAGTCGTCGCTCATTCATGTGCCGGGCGGGGTTGTGTGATTATTTTAGTCTGTGATGCATCCGGTTGCTGGTGATCGGGATTTGGAACGATGAAATCCGGAGCAACATGCGCATTTGACAAAAATATGGTTACGGATCATATACGTTGCATGTTTATGCTTTCGACTGGGTGAATGCCGCGGATTTCCGTTTAGAGCTTTGGTCTCATGGCTGGAGAGAATTGTTCAAAGTCCCCGCGGACAGCTTTTTGTAGATGACGGACACATTTGACATCATGTCTGGTGGTCGGGGGATCATCACGTCCATGGACATGATGCGGTCCGGGAAAAAAAGGTGTGCCAAATTCCAAGGATTATTTAGCCTTGGGAGAGATTTCCCTTGCCGTGATGTGAGGTTGCAGGTGGAGGATTGTGAGGACAGATCATCCAAACAGTTTGACAGGTTGGCTTCAACTCTATCCAAAACCTTACAACAGCACGCGATGATCAACCTTTGCGCTCCCTTTTTAGAGTTTACACCAGATAACAGCTTAAAAAATGTAGCAAACAATTTACCAACATGGACGGTGACAGCTGAGCCGATCATCCCACAGCCCAACCCAGCCTTTTAATCCAGCTCTTCCCAACGCTTATTCCATGCAAAATGACACATTCTTGCGTATGTCTGCTGTCCACAGCGTGCATTTTCTGCACGCTCGCGGTATGACTCACCCTGACATGTGTGATATCGCTGTGCTCATGCCTCAGGTTCATCAAGCAATATAAAAAGGACACTACCACCACTAGCGCCCTCGAGCAAGACCTTCCGAATCTAGCAGCACAAAATAAAGATATGACTGAACAACCGACGACGACGACCCAGCAACCTTCCGCAGAGCAAGATGCAGCAACACAACAAAAGCTCTCTCAATTAAAGGAGCCCGTTCATGAAGAAATTTTGGACCATGAACCTTCTACCCACACCAGAGTTATTGCCATTGCGCTAGATCATTCTGGTATGTCCACCTCCTCCGAACCTATCCAAACACCAGATCTCACACTTTTTACAGAGTACAGCGCATACGCCTTCAAGTACACCCTCGAAAACATTGTCAATCCCAAAACAGACCAAGTCGTCCTCCTCAATGTCCGCGATATCGTCAACATACCGAGCTCATTTGGACTTGTTTATATGGACACGGGAGGTGCGAATGCGTTTGGTACGGATTTGAGGGGGGATTTGCAAGGGCTTCCCCCTTTTAAAGAGATTTGGAAAGTTGATCATGTCGATTCTTCTTCTTCTTCACCTCCCTCTACTGCTCCTACTATAACCACCACGCACCCGCATTCGCATCTCCCGGTTCTAGATTGGATTGACCGGACCGAGGATGAAAACATGGCTGCTTCACATCGGCTATTGAAACAATTTGGAGCACAGGTTCTTAAAGCTGGGGTAAATGTTCTTGTTCGGATTTTGTCCGTTTTTTGTCCAGCATCTCATTATTTCTATTAGGCCAAATGCCGAGCTATAGCACTCCGCGGCGACCCTCGTGACGAACTCGTGTACAAGACCAAAGAGCTTCATGCGGATTTATTTGTGATTGGATCAAGAGGGATGGGTGCTATTAAACGGTACATCTCTTGCTGGCATGTCCGGATTACTGATATCGGATGCTCATTTCTTATTTGTAAACTTTCTAGCACGTTTTTGGGCTCTGTTTCGGACTACTGCGTTCATCATTGTGCGTGTCCGGTTTTGGTCGTGAGGGCTCAAGAGCAGGAAAAGAATAAGAAGGCTTGATGTGGAGTGCCCACATATTTTCAGTTTCATCAAAGAGTGGAAATTCCATTGTATTTTTTTTGTTGTTGTTGTTGTTGTTTTAGCTAGCAATCTATATGTCATAATGTCATACCGTTATCATTAAAGCGATACTGCTTTACCATTTCCAAAAAGTAGGAGATCGGGCAGATTTGAAATATCTATGCGCCATATTGCTCGGTTTCAAACCTTTTTATTAAATTCAAATCCTCAGTCTTCTGGGCAGCCCTAGAGCCAGAATGAACTTGATCGGAGGACCACCAACTTGCGTTACTGCGATTTTTTGATACATCGGGACAACAAGTAACGGTCTTCCAACTCATCTGGCGTTCCTTTGAGTAAAAAGGTTGAGTATGATAAACCAAACGTTCGGGCAATCTATTCAGACATATCAGTAGATTGTTCGTAAAAGCAGCCTTGCCGGAAGCACAAGTATGCCATGCCGGGCTTCTGAGCTGCACGGTAAAAGATACAAATATACTACCTATGAAAGGGGTTGGTACATAGTGATTCAAACTGCAGCACTCGTAAACCGAAGTGCTTCCTCACCCTGCGTCAATCCTGTAACAGCTGCCATACATGCCTGTTTGGCTGCATTGGCCATCTTGCATAACATACGAATTGGCATTTCTTTTATTGTCTTTTGGCCCAAAACCCATGCCTATTTTACAACGCCCAAACCTGGAGGTGATTGTAAGACGGATTACAAGACTTTACGGTAAAACGGACATATAGGTATGTTGTCAAGTTTCGGCTTTTGGTGCCTTTCACAGTTTGAGAACACATGTAGGAAACCCGTGTGCCCAACGTGCATTCCTTTTCAAAGTAGGACCTTGACGGATGGGTAACGCCTCTCCGCAACCCATTTTTGCCGTTAACTTACAATCTGTTTCGACTTGCACCGGCTGATGGACTGTCGACGGCACATTCATGTCAAAGTTTTACATACTTCTGCCCACGCCAAATAACCTAAATTACAAACCACACATGTCCACCAACATCGGTAAAGGACATGCATGCCAAACTTCATCACCAGTACAGCCCAAATCACAGAAATCCCATCCTCACATCATAGTCAGACTATCAGTGAACCGTGAAAACCTCAGTGTGCAGGCAAATGAACAGCACGGCAAAAGGTATCGTTAGATAATAGTGTGCCGGCGCCAAAAAAGATCACTAAGAGCGCATCATCACCTTCGACGCAACCCTTCCTCCTAACTCCACTACGAATCTTGTTACTTCTAACATTAAGCACTGAGAAATGGGTAACATATTACAATACATGTACACCGTATGAAAGGACTAGACTGGCGACCCCCGGAATTTCGATAATCATCCATTTACAGATATTATAGCTCCTCATGGTTGGAGTGCTGCAACTTCAATCCAAAACAGGTGTTCCACAGCACGCAAAATGACTTGCCTAGATTTGAACAAATGGGTCGGTTGGGTAATTTCCCCTGTATTGCGGATTGTGCATAACAAAGCCAGAGGATCAGAGGATGGCAGCCTGAGGAACAAAATCTCAAAAAATAAATGCCCCATTTGTATTTTACATTGCCTCCTGCGTGGATCGAACACGCGACCTTCTGCTTACGAGGCAGACGCACTACCACTATGCTAAGAAGGCTTTTTTGATATGTGATATAACAGCAGTACAATTTGAATTATTGACAGCCCATATGGCCTAAACTCTTATTATCGTCGATCAAAACCAGCGATCGAATAGTTTCAAGTTGAACAGTGATCGAATACATGTCATTTACATTTACATGCTGACGTTGTACGTTAAGGCATATACAATAGGCTGAGATCCTCATATGCTGCCCACAAAGCTGCTATACCCAAGTTGTTTTTGTGTGTGATGCAAGCCGATTAAGAGCTCAAAACAAGAGGCAATGTCTAATAGCCCGTAAGAGAACGGTATGACACCATATTAATTTCCATACGTATACAAGTCACGTATGCCAACATTATGCATGAGTGACAGCATATTTTCATCCATAAACGTATCCAACATGAAAGGTTCTACATCTCAAATCCCAGTTTTATACCTCCTCACACATCCATCGGCTCCACAGGTGTAGATTCCATCTTCCACAACCTCAATCTGCATCACACCATATGTTAGCCCTGCTCGCTCGCTGCTGCCCGATTGTCGATCTCCAATGGATAAACGCTGGTGGACAGTGTTCCACGCTTCTGTTTGTTGGAATGTTCGGAGGTCCCATAGCTGGCGCAGACAAATATGAGACGATATAGTTCGAATATAGCTCAGTAATGAGTTGCGCACCTTTACATCGCCCCCAGTGGAGCCCGATACCAAGCAATTATTTTCATCGTCAATTGCCAATGATTTGACAGTTTGTTCATGGCCGTGGAAGTTGTCCAATAGCGTTCGCTGTCGAGTGTCAAATACATCTGTCGAGAGATAATTTAACTTAGCGATTCTACCAGAGAAACCAATCCCTTGGCTTACATATATCTCCTCGCTTCCCTCCCGCAAACAGCAATTCGTGTCGAGCAGAGTAAGCTAGAGAGTACGCTCCACCTTCGGCCACCGTAAAGCCTGAAATTGAATTTGCAGCATTATTACCTACGTCGTGAACAATGCCGCTTATCATGGTAACATACCTTTGATTCGCGACTTGTTAGCTGGCAACAGTGAATCCCAAAGACACACATTCCTAAGAGCGAGGAAACCAATCATAGGTCAAACGCTTCATCGACCATTGTTTGCGGTGGCGCACGTGAATCACACGACACTCACATCTGGCTAGTAGAAAATCCGGCAGTAGCTAGCAAACTACTCGACTTCCAAAAAAGAAAATCGTTCGTTACAGCATGACACGCCAAAACTGCTGCAGGTGATAATGCTTGTGCACTAGCATCAAATCTCCACAAAGAGAGATCGCCCTTGGTATCAGTGGCTCCAAACCGTGAACCAAAGGGGTCGAATCGGCATCGCGTGAAGCGGGCAGTGGTGCCTGACGTGTATGTGACCAGCTCTTTAGGCTGTCCGAATTGATAAAGGTTGACCACAGCGGGTGTGGTTGGGGGTTCACTTATTCCCGCAAGGTCTAAGGCCGACAACGGTGGATGAGGATAATTATCAAGATTGGGACAAGCCTTATCAATACGTACAATAGTTGAGAGTAGGATGTGACGCAAGCGAGGAGACCCCAGTAACATTATGTGCAATTCTCTGAGACGGAAGAAAAATTATTAAACTGACCTACTGAGGGTACAACCCATGTCGCAGACATACCTGCCCAGCATCCAATTCTAGAGCCGCAGATGCTAAAAACAAACAATTCGATACAATCAGTATGGATGTCAAAAAAAAAAAAAAAAAAAAAAAAAAAAACGATCGCTTAAGATCCCGGCTGCACGAGGAACTCACACTCTCTCCTCAAACTGTGCATATTTGTCTTCAACGCCTTTTGCATCGAATCGAAGCTCAAATTGCGCGTGAGAGTATCCTGGCGCTTAATACCCTTCTTCTCGACCGCGCCCGTTACTCCAAACTTTGGTGCAGAGAAATGTTCCGGAGGTTGCCTTGAGGCCCTCAGTTCAAAGTCATCAACCGATGCACGGAGATCTGTAAACGTTCCTCTTCGCTAGAAGTACGAAACAATCATTTCAGTTAGAACGTAAAATACGCAAAGATTGAAACGGGATCGCCTCACAAGGAAGAAGTTCAACGCGTTTGAGACATCGATCTCTTGTATACCTCGATGGGTCCCAATCGCCATGTGGTTGTGGTCGAGCTACACGGTGGAAAACACAGGCACATTTGTCAATAAGGTGTGAAGCGACAGGAGACACCCTCGAAAGTTACCGGATTCAACGCAAATGTATGTATAATGTCTTTGGTACGGTAGATCAACTCTGGCTGGGTCTCCTGTGTTTTTGGTTCTGCTGGTTCTCCCCCCTAAAGTCAGAAGAAGGTTAGTCAAAGAAAGTCTCGTAGAAGAATTCCTTATCAGACAAACGACAACCAACCTCGGTGTTCTCACTCGGTATTATCTTTTGAATGTTACCTTCCTTTTCCTCCGATTTTCCCCCTTGCAAGATCAAGTCCAACATCTTCACAATGCTGACTGTCCGTCCCAGCAAATCCCATATTTGCTTTTCGTCTGGATCTTGCAAATACTTCCGGACTTTGGCTGTACACAAGCAGAGGTAAAGTCAGAGTCTCTTCATGATGCCCATAAATGGTGAAGGCTTACGAATGCGGATCGCAGTCTTTTCCCACCCCTTCGCGACTGCCTTTTGCATAGTGAACAACATTCGACTCAACCGCCGCAATATTGCATCACACAGAAACCCGTGGATATCATCCGTTGAACGCGACGAACTCGTTCCGTCATCCCTCAACTGCGCCAGATATCCGTCAAAGGTGAGCCCAACATGCTGTAATGCCACCGTGGTCGTCAGGGCATCAGCGACTAACATGGCATCGCCGTGGGATAGCACTGAAGCTCCACATTCTTCTTCAAAATCATCATCATCTGGTTCACTGTCAACATTTGCTTCTGAATCTTCGGCATCCGCATTTGACCCGACTGGTCGATCACTGAGAACTTCCAATATTATTTCTTTGAGGTCATTAATGTTGCCGGCGAGAAGAGCATCGAAGAAGCGGTCGCAAAACCCGACGAGCCAATAAAGGGTTGTAAACCTCCTTTTGCGGATAGAGTAGACCGTCAGAGTGAGGAAGGCCGTTGCAGCAGCTTGGGAGACCACGGCCTTGTCAAGAACGGAGTCCGCCTGTGTCTCAGCAGACGCACGTTCGATCCACCGGACGAGGAACCAAAGCATTTGCCTAGGAAGTCATTGGTCACTAACGTTGGGAGGCCAAGAATACCTGACTCCAGTCACTCACCTCGACAACGAATCAATAAATGCCGAACCACAAAGATCACCTTCTCCCAATGACAACCTCGCTAATGTATTGGACTCCTCCACAATGAACTTCCCAATTTCCACCTTATAATCAGCCAATGTTCCGTGTAGAGGCATCAGCTCCACATAGGCGACAGCAGCATCCATTTCTCTACACCTCGAGTCCCATATCTGATCCATAACAGCAATGGGCATTTCGACAAGACTGCATAACGCACGAATCCCATCTTGCAACAGCGCAAAGTAGTCCCGGAACGTGCTCTCGGCGTTGAGCACGTCCCGGTTTTTTGACACAGACGAGGCGGACTTATAAGCAGCTTGGACGACGCGCATGGCGAGCATCCAGTTATACAGGCGAATGTTGCGTTTTTCCAACTCTAATCGGAGGAGAGTCTCTTCGTCAATTGGCTTTGCTGGGATATTTGGAATATCGGAAACCTCCACTACGTCGTTCTTTACTTCAGGTATTAAATCGTCTTTATCTCCATTTTCCTCCTCGAGGTCGAGATCTGTGATTTCCTCCTCTTGATACCCACCGAGACTCCTTTTGAAGGCTTCAAACTCATCATCCATTGAAGTCTTAATCGTTGGTCCTGACGTAGGTTCACCCCAGTCGATCCCACCCGCGGTTTGATTAGAAACTGGTGCCCCCCAATCGAAAGTATCAGCGGTTGTTTTGTTGACAGGCTCGCCCCAATCGATGCCTGCGCTTGTCTGTTGTGAAACTGGTGCACCCCAGTCAAAGTCTCCAGCATTCTGCTTTGAAACGGGGTCGCCCCAGTCAATACCGCCTGCTGTCTCCTTTGAAGCCGATTCTTCTGACTTGATCTCGCTGGTTTTGATTCCGGCTCCCCATTTATCTATATCCAAGACCCCGACAGCGATGTCATCGGACGGAGGTTTGTAAACAACCGGGACAGCCTCCTCGTCTGTTACATATAATCCAACCAGCTCATCCGCTTTCCTCACAATATCTAATGCCAAACCCGGGCATCCCAATTGTTCGTATGCCTGTGCACTTCGGTACACAAATTCGCATTCCAGATCCGGTGGGATGCGGGGTTGAGAAATTCGCATACTTCGGTATGATCGACGAAGATGGTGATAAAATACTAAGAGGGTCGGATCTGAGAGGGATTGGGGCTTTGAACTTTGGTCGGGCGGCGACGTTTGCACTTCGTCTGATGGAGGAAGTAGCGTATCTAGCGGGGTCTATTAGACATTACACAAGATGATGAGGTCTTGAGCGGGCCTCGATGCTGAACAATGATCAGATAATCCCTACCAAGGTCGCTAATAAAGCTTTATCTCTCTGTTTCAGCATTGTAAAAGCAACACTGGCAAGCCACCTATCGCCTTGATCAAGCGCCCGTGGAAGAATGCTATTCAAGAGCATCTCACGCTGAATGGGGCCATCTTCCCCTAAGGTTGAACAGACCAGTTAGTGGAGGATCATTGAATTTTATCACTAAATCACTCCTACCTTCATACAGACGGCAAATAACGATTGCCAACTGGGGATCGTTCAGTTGCTTTAAACATACATTCACGGCATCTTTAAGTTTGTCGGCCAACAAGAAGAAGGTTACCGCGTACTCTAGATAATCCAAAAAGAGATGAGGCTCGCAACAATTACACTTGGCTTGTTAGAAATCTTACCATATCTTTGCTTTCCTAACAATGCAAACGCGTTCTTTAGCGCTGCGCTCTTCCACCTGTCTGTTTCAAAATCATTTGCCAAGAATTTCAACATGGCAGCTTGTTCAGGATGGGCATTGGCTAATTTCCACAGCCCTAGTAGCACATTCTTCTTTTTCAGCGCCATGTAGAACAGCGAACAGTCCACAGGGTCTCGTGACTCATTCGGGCCCATGTACTGGTTCCGTGCCATTGTTTCCACAGTTCGGCGGAGCGTATCCGCGTTGCGGAGCCAGAAACCAATTCCTAGAGCTTTAGCATCTTTCCAGATGAGTTTATTGTTGAATGACTGGGTAATGAAATCTAAGAGCATGTCCTACAACAGGGGAGAATTTTACCATTTCAGTATACAATGATGCCTGGAGATCTGCTATGAAACACTACCTGCGAATCGCTAAAGTAAGCCCAAGTAATATCCCTCGACGTCAGGCCGTTTGGCTTTAGGTGAGACGGAAAGGACTTCTGTGAAAACAGGAACAAACGCATGGCGAGGACATATCGGACTCCATTCTCGTCTAGGGATCGCTTCTGTTTTTCCACCTGCCAGATTCCATCCAGTCAATGTCAGAAGGGCTGACGTCAGGATATGGTATCCCTCTCAACAGTACCTGTACAAGCGTATCGATTACCGCCAAAAGGGACATCTGCTCCACATTGGTGATACCAGGCAGTGATATTTTTGCCAACTGCTCCGAAAGATACGCTGCCTGCTCGTCCCCAAACTCGCCAACTTTAACTTCCTTCCTGCCACAGATGAGCCGATCAGTTGAAGCTCGGTAAAATTGACCTCACACATAGCCAGATGCATACTGAGAGTCATCGTCACCAAAATCAAACAAGGCATCGTATTGCTGCCCGCCCTGTGTCTCTGGCTATACAAGCACGGTGAAAAGAAAGTGACGCATATAGGCCAATTGCACGAATCAATATACCTCATCGTCGGCAAATATCTTCCACAGGGGCATAGGGGTAGCGCTGATGATTCTCCCGCTCTCGACCATACGTTTGACAAAATGATACAGTAAGGAAAGGGTATATCGCGCTAAATTGAATTTTCCTATATATGTTCGTTGATGAGCATGCAACGACTGATTTCCCTTTCTCAAAATAACTCGGTAACTACACTCACCCCACAGTAGATATTGCACAAGTAATTGTGGATGATGATCGGGCATCCGGCCGTTTGTTTCATCCACCACAGAAAACATGTGTCTGGGTGTTGCATCATCATCCCTGGCCGATGGCCCTTCTACCGATTTCAGTGAAAAGTTGCGAATATGTGACACCAAGTTGCATACCAGTTTCATCTTCCTCAAGCCACTTCTCATAGACGGATATCTTCTGCCCAGTTGCAACCGCTAGCGATCCATTTGTTAACCATGACACCGCGGAAACCGTATCCGTCCTGACATTACAGATACACAATCAACATATATGCGACATAGTAATGCCACTAACGCTCTGCCACACACCAGGGTAGCTCAATAGTACTGATGATCGTCCAGCTAGGCACGTCCTCTACGCTGGCCAGTCGCTGCTGGCAATACACGTGCACCCGGTTGGGCATAGCTAGGGCAAGTACATGTTGGCCATCTGATGTGAAGTACCAGTCCATTCCAATCACGCTATCACTGTTGAGGTTCGGACAAAAGATGCCGTTGAGCAGTTGCATTGACTTATAACACAACCTCAGAATGTACCTCAGCGAAATCCTCCATTCCTCTCTCATCTCCAAACCCGTGGCTTCATTTCCCCAGACGGCCAGCTGCCTGCTACCATCCTTAACAGACACTGTATCGGCCATTGAGAACATGAGAAATAGTATGACGAAGCTGCATAAGGCACTATGCGACCCTCACCTATCGCTAGTTTACCGAATGCATCAGTTTCCACGAGCTCCGCCACCTCATTGACTTCAAACTCCGCTACTACCCGCCATGGCTGAGTGTCATTGGACGCAAGCGACGCCAGACTTCCATTCCCAGTATGCCAAAATCGAACTATATTGTCTTCGGAAAAGGTCAAAAAGACATGTGCACCGACTGGAGAGTCGGGGTAAAAGGTCGAACACAGGTCATCTGTCGGGGAGGCGCGAACAATTGAATGCTCGAGGCGGCTTTTTGATATTAATGATGCTCCCACAGCGTCATTCGCTAATTAAGAACCCGAAAAAGGTCAGGCCTATACCCAACGTATTCAACATAACTGGCCAACGGCAGATACCTACCATTGAACTCTGCGGCCCACACAAACACGGTGTTCTCGGCTCCGATACCAATAATATGTACGGCGTTCTTTTCATTAACTTCGGCATCGTAATAGGCATGCAGAAGAAGTAAACGACATGTCGAATCATATCCTTCCAGTTCTCGTAGCTTGGTCTTTCCCGCTGCATCGATACGGTATAATATCAATATACCCGCTTCCTCAATGACGAGATGCAAGCCTGGAACGTGTACATTAAGGAAGCAAGCCCACCAGAATCAGTGACAGACGACGTCCTACCATGAGGAAGCCAAGTGACGTTCCGAGTTCTGTCGTGAACGCCATCCGCTGGAAAAGAAGCTATGACTTGCAAGCCATCGGTTGTCCTCAGTCCAACCTATCAAAGGACGGGTCAGTGTAATTTCCTTCATTGCAAATTGTTCAACAATCCCAACCTGCGGGACACTACTCTGATAAACAATGACCTCTCCATCCATCCCGACAGACGCAACGAAATTCTTATTCGGATGTCTGCAAAGTTTCTTTACAGAACCACGAGGACCACCCCATGAGTGCATCAGCGATAGGTGTGGAATCATCCAAGATGTGGCGAAGAAGTCATCCAGATTCATTGTATATGTGTTGATGATGCCGTCTGCCCGTTGGGCAAGTATTTGGAGTTCAGCTGGGAAGAAAATCGCTGTAATAGTGACCGTAAGCACTGTGTAATGCTCTACTCCATAAACAATATGAATTACGCACCGGACTTTTTCATGGCCCAGTCATTATGAAAGACTGTTACATTCCCTTCAAAAAAGTCGAAATCTTCAGAGGCGACCGTCTGGTCAGTTTTCATGAGCACAATGACTTTTGCCATCCGCCTTGGACGGCTCGTCAGATACTGCACTCCCCAAACTATCATAGCTCCATCGCTCTGGACATGAAAGAGTATTTCGGAATAGTCTTTTACTGCGTCTTTCAATTTCCGACTCTTCAGCAGTGTGGAACCAGGTTTTCGACGTGAATTCTTCTTGGCAAATCGCTTCTCTTCCTCTTCTCTGAGTTTGATGGCGCGTTGAATCTCTTCACTGTGCAGCCAGTGCACAGCGCAGATATGGGGATGCGGTGATTTGGTTGGGTCCTCAGTGAGTGGGAAATCGGTGGGGTCGATGGCGACTGCAAGATGAAATTCATATGGCTCGGCTTCCGAGACGGGGCACCAGAGCCGACATATGTTATCCCGAGATATTGTCATCAAGACGTTGTCCTCAACCAGTCTGTACAAAAATGGTCTTCATGTCTAAGTATACGGCCGGTAATACATGCTCGATAGTGCCATACCGGTGTTTTGATGTGCGTCGCCACTCCATGTTAATCACGGATCTCGCATGTGGTAAGTACACAAAGTTGTACTTTGGAAAGTCTTTGCCGTGACCTGGGTGTGTCAATTAGTACGGCGTGATCTACCGAGAAACGACCAACTCGTACCTTCCGTGACCTTATTCCACACTTTAACAAGCCTGTCAAACTGACCAATGGACGTCATTTTAGACTCACGAAGTAGAAAGGATTGCGCAACTCGAGGTTTGGATGCACACCTCTCCGAAAGTCGCAAAGAAATGTCCATCTGGCGAGAATTCCGCTTTGGCAACGTCTGATGATAAGCTGTTGAACAGCTTAGAAGAGCTTACTAAGGCTATTCCGAAATTCAATATCTTACCTAACACTCCACGTTTGTATCCAGCCACCATCTTGCGCATCTACCCCATCGTCCTTTCGTTCCCATAAGCATATAGATCGTCCAGCGACCAACAATTCACCTGGCTACGCGTGAGGTTTCGATTCATACGACGTTTCCTCTCCATGGATTATAATCACCTTGCGTACTCCACGATATTGCCCGTACTGGGTTGGGGTGCGTCAACGTGCTTTCCAAGTTCCACTGAATCTGAAGAATAACAGTCATTGACAAGGTTTGGAATCCTCCACTCATGCAGCTATTATGAAATACCTTATCCCCACCTTCACGGGGTTTGAATAATAGAACTTTGTCTCCGAATGATGCCGCGATCTGCACATCAAGCAGCTTTTAGATGTGGCTCTCCATAGTTGCACCAATTGAGTCAGAGCATCTGAACCAATACATCTATGTTCCATTGCCCATATGATTCCCGCCATATTTAGCTTAAAATTATTCTCTCAAGACGGAACTTACACATCCTCCGTCAGACGCAAATGCAACGGCTGCTACCTCTTCCTCATCACCAGCTGGACTTCTCAGAATCTGGACGAATTCGTTGGTTGCAGTATAGACGATACAATTAGCACCGCTTGCATAGATCTAAAAGAAAATAATGCAACCATTCTGAATATAGTGCTACACGTTCCTCCAGCAACGACACTGCACATTACGCACCACATATCGCGTCCCGCGATAAACCCCCGTCGCAATTGACGACAACGTCGTGTTGGATTTCCCTGCTATTATTTGTTGTATGTGCTGCATTGCGGCAATAGGGTTGTCTGCTCTTCAGGCGACCTTGTTTGCTTACACTTTCGTATGAAGGGCATGGGAGGTTACGAATGCCAAGACCCACTAAGAGACAAGTGGATATACACTTACACGAAAAAAAGAGCTACAATAAGAGTGCGTCTTAGAATGACATGAGCGCTTGCAGATGACTGGGTTTAATGGGTATGCTTTGAACGTCGACAAGGAAGATGAGCAAAGGTTTTTGGACCTGTAGTGGTGAGCTGAAAGGCTTCGTACATGTCAGATGCCCATATCCGGGCAAATTACCGATGCTGACACATCAGCGCGACCAACACGTTCAAGAACTTGTAAAATGCTATTTCCATGCAGGACACCTTTGAAAGGTATGCCTCCGGCATTCACTTCCCGCCAGTAGCAGCTGCCTTCTCCTTCTCCTGCAATTCTTTGTAATAGGCTAAAGCTTGCTTGACGGGAGTAATGATTGGATCCATGTTGTCGAGTACACGGGCCATAAGTTCGTAAAGCGGTATCAGTACAAATCCAATAAAACTATCAACATAGAACCGAACCGCTGAATTATTACAGAGGATATTGCAAATGATTGAAAGACATTCGCTACTCACCCAACCTGGGCACCAGCTTTGGTAACTTTTTCTCGATCCATGAAAGGAGCAAATGGCAGTCCAGCAGCCTTCTCGTGATCCGCTTGCTCAAAGAATTCTTCCAACAAACAATCGACCCAGGGCTCCGCAACGTCCGGAGGCCGCACCTCATTGCTCACATCAGCACATTTGATGATCATCTGCAACAAGCAACTTTTCTGCTCCGCATCAGAATACTTGAAACCTTCATCTGCGTACTTCTTCATCTGCGAGAGGAGATCTGCGTGCTTTGCCATGTCAGTCGCAAGTATCCCGCGAATGATGCCCTTGCGAATATCACGATAGGTCGAATCTGGAATGTTGGACATGATATTTGTGTCCGGATGCTTCAGAATCGTGAACAAGACGGCGCAATGATGCATTTCCAATGGGGATACATCGTTGTAAATAATCGCCAGATCCGTACGGGCATTTACTTGATATGCATTGTTAAATCCTGGATGATCGAGATCGTGCCCGACACAGGCGGCGAGAAGGATAAGCTTGTCCGCTGGGGTAAGCTTCTCCACGACTTTGGTCGTATGGAGGATACCGTACATCATCTGAGTGACGCAAAAGCAATGGCGGAAATTGTGGAATGGCTATTCACGAAGAATCGCCAAGTGTTACTCGAAGGTGTTTCAATGCGAAACCGTTTGTGTATACTCACATTGGCATTATATCCATCCTTCACAGCCTGCAAAAACTTTCGCAGAACAGGAATGTCGATCTTGAACTCATCCACCACCCCCAACTCAACGAACATGAATTCCAGTAAAGCCAACATTTCGTTTTCCTGCCATTGCCAAGGGTCGAATGTCGGAGTCTTCAAATATTTGATGGTTTCATCCGTGAACACATATTTGGGTTGAGACATGTAGCGAGGATCAATTTGAGACACCCGTTTAACAGCTCTCTTTGGCGTATGCTGAGTTGGAATGTTTGCTAGTTGACCTTTCTTTTCAGTTAGACCATCTAGGTCGGCTTCCAAACTTTTTAGAGTTGCTTTGAGGGCGGAAAGATCCAAATTGGCGGTTCCGATCTCGGGAGACATAACTGCGGAAGCTGCATCATTCTTGATGAGGCTGTCTGAAGATGAGTTCAGCGAAGGTTAACATCTAGTTCCTCAATCACAGTTGATCGATGCACCTACCCTTTTTAACATTCAAAATATATCGATTGTCTTCCGAATTGGGTGTCAGTCCATCGACCGATACAGGGAGCAGCACACCGTCTTTCGTTGAAACTTTTACAATGGCCCCTTTTGGTTCCCCGCCAATTTCTGCAGCGGCCAATAAGCCTGCTCTTATTTCCTCTGGTGAAGCACTCTTTGCAAACTCGATGGTCTCATTCCGTGGCGACCCGTCATTAATCAAAAGGTAGATGCGACTACAGGTGGACGCTGTGGCAGCCATTTTTAATACTGAAAGTATGGTTTCAAGAATCTTTGTATGAAATTCGTAGTCTTCCACGCAATCAACAGTGTATACCACTAGGAAGGGGATGTCCTAGTCTCTTCTAAATACGGATCCCCAGCCATTAGAATGCGAGTCCTGAAGCCCTTCCAGACCCGGTTTTGGGCGTCTTGGTGCCCATCGTTTGATCTAATCATTCATTACCCTGGTTAGCTAAGGAACCTGAGGATATACAAGTCGCAACCCGTCGGGGAGTTAGGGCTGCATTACCTCAGCAATCAATCCATGTAACCAAATGGAATGCGGATTTGCTGCAGCGTTCGATCGTCTGGGCTATGAACTTTTACGGGCTAATATGTGGTCTTCAACCGACCTCTACACCTCCCCAGGTGCTTCCAGCCTTTCGAAAACCAACGATACCATTCGCAACCTTCACAAGACACAGAACCCTTCATCCATTATCTCCCTGTTTGATGATGACTCTGCTTCCACTTCGCTGTGTTGTGTCCGTCCCTGTCGTCCATTGCTAGAGACGATATTGAAGCACTGTGGGGTAACTGATAGTGACAACTACCCGGGAACGATTCTCCTCAGCATTGGCTCGGCGTCAGGTCTCTTGGAGTACCTGTTGCAATTCGTGGCAGGCTCAAAATTGCTAATATATGGCATCGACGTGGCAAATATCAACGTTTTCCTCGACTCTGACAGATTCGTGCTGATCCGATCTGAAACTCCGGAAATATCTGCGGTTCCTGATGCCACGATTCTATTCGCTTCATACCTTCGTCGTCCGGCATTGCTTCCCATATATCTGGAGGTTTGTCCGCACATAACCAGAGTCATCCTTGTCGGACCAATCTCGGAAGATCCGTTTTCAGATGAGAGTGTCATTGCGTCCATGGCTGGATGGAGGCAAGTGTACGGTGGTGCAGTAGGCTTGCGTCCGTGGGAGCAGATGAAGGTCTTTGTGAGGGCAGAATGATTTGGGCTGATGGTATAAATCACGCGAAAAACAAGCCCCAAGAAGATAGTCCAAAGAGCATGCCCAGCTGTGGGAAAATAGACGAGGCAACTTTGAATAATCTAATATCGAACATCTATTATATCATACAGTGTACACTATACTACAAAAACTTGTCTATCTCATCTAAACAGTCAGCAAACTCAACGTCAAACCAGCTACTCCGACCAAACCACAGAGTCCGGTATACAGAGCGCTTGCACCACTGGAGGTTCCCGACAGTGGACGCCCAGTAGGGGTTATCACAGCTGTGGTTGAGGTAGGAGTACTTTTGGTTGCAGCACTGGCAGGTACTGGCGCAGTAGATGTTGGCGCGGCTGTGGTTGACAAAGGCGCAGCAGTCGTTGATGCGGTGGCATTGCCAGCTCCTACTGTGAACCAAGTTGTCCAATTGGGTCCGTACAATGCGCCTCCCTGACCTCGTCCGACAAAGATCAAGGCGTATTGCCTTGGCGGTAGGTCTGCGGGCACAGTGTAATCAATCTCAAGGGTCCCAGGATACGCAACACCGGGCAAAGGAGCGACGAAGCGGCCCGATCCAGTGACGGTTGTGTTTTGACCGATGCCGAGTTCAATGGTCAAGGCCGTCACCTCCTGAGGGTGATTGGGAAGGATAGTCCATTGAACTTTGACTTGTGAGCCAGGCGTCCAGATGGTTTCACCAATTGGAGTTGTTGGATACACGAGAGGTGCATCAATGAAGGTTTGGGCAGACGCGAGCGGCGCCAAAAGAAGAAGGACCGAGGCAAAAGACTTGAGCATTGTTAAATGGTTTGAGATATTATGATGCTGGAAGGAGAGACCACAGCATCATCACATTTTATAGCCCGCCTGCCCATCTTGTAAAAATCCAAAAGAAAAAAAAAATACAAAATTGATGCACTGCCTCTGCAAGCGGTCGACCCTGGCTGTACCGTTGGGCGGGGGCGTTCGGGCGATGGGGGGGGGGGGGGGGTTTTGAAAAAGCTGTGCCAAATTCCAGGATTTCAAAAGAAAATAAACATTTTTGACATCTAAAAATATATTCACGTGATTAAGACTTTGTCCCAATTTAGCTATTTATCCACGACACGGAGGTTCCGGCGATTTTGCGGCTTGCTGAGTTTTATTTCCACCAGCCCCTTTTCCTTTTGGATTTGCAACTGCCGCTCCCCAAGAGCAAGGGCGCTTGTTGGATTTGCAACCCACAGTAGTTACTGGTGCGCTTCAACTTACAGAAAAAGCGGTGCTTGGAGAATGATAATTTTATGCAGGAAATTGGCACAAATGTTGGGATCTGGTTGGTAGAATGCAAAGGAAAAGCTTTGGTTGGTTATTGAATAGATCCAATCGTTTTTGTTATTTCATCTCTCGCGTACTCAACTATAGAGTATAGTTGTTCTTTTCTCAAGCCGCTCAAGTAAGCCGATACATTGCTTGCAGGTTAGTAGATTGGCTGGTTGCGCGATATCAGCTCTGCCAATCTAAAAGTGGGCGACAACCATCAATTTCGACGTCTCGTAGGACCAAACCTATCATTGCGGGTAATTGCGATCTGAAGGTTTGGTGATTGATCTAATCAGAGCAGCATGGGCAAACAAGGGATGTATAGTCGGCCACCTGTACAATGTGGGCGCGGTATTGTGAGCAACATGCTCCAAAGAAGGCTAAACTTTGAAATGTTGAAAGATGGCTGGACGAAGACCGCCTTCCATCAAAATGGTGAAAGCGCGTTGAAGGCGTCAAGCGCTCACATCTCCTACTATGGCATTTAGGTTATAACCAACTCCACAGATGCACATGCATGGTATCATCATGTATCTAAAAAGATACAGCTTAATTATACAGTAAATCCCCTTTCTACTTGTAAAAGTCTATCATCGCACTTGTTTCATAACGTACAAGAGGAAACAGTCACCGCCCACAGAACCCAAGCTTTCCCATTTTCGCAGACAACAGCCGATCCAGATTCTCGATGGATTTGACCAGCTGCGTCTCTTCCGCAACAAGCGGTAAAGGTCCGCTAGTTGGATGCCGATAGATATATCCTTCATTTTTCCTTCGAACTCCAACTCCAGTATCCCCTTTCTTGCCTTCCAAGTTTCGGCCAAAACCCTGCTGGTCTGGGGGAAGTGAAGAGTTGAACGAAAGTATATCCCGGCGGGACATTGCACTGCTTTGTACACGCTTTTGCTGGACGACGTTTACGTCTTCAGCGGAATCCATCCGCCTGTACATTTGAATGCGGTCGAGTTCATCGGATATTAGTTTTACAGACATGTCAGATCGCTTGCTTAGCTCTTCTGCATAAAGAAAGATTTCGAGGGATTCTAAAAAAAAAAGGTAGATGTGAGTTTTTTGAGATTTCCAAGCCTGGATTGTAAATGTTCACCTCTCTGTCCCCGTCCCGGTCTGGTAGTCACAACTTTCTTTTGTATAGGAGGTAGTTTTATCCTTTCTTTGCATCGATCGCTAATCACTGGAGCACTTCTCCATCTGGGTATTCGTGAGGGTAGGACGTCTGTGGTATTGCCGTGGATTGGAGGGAGTGCACTGTTATCCCTTTTTGAGGGTGCGGAGCGTGGTCGCTTGGTTACTGGTAGCGGAAGGAGATCTTTAGGGACGAGTTCCCGCGTTGCGAGCCGGATCTCGGATGCGGGGTTAATCCTTGTTGGGTGGGAGGGATTTATTGAATTGAGGCTGCGTGAGAGAGGTGACCGGACGCTTTCAGATTGTGTTTGCGTAATTGACGGGGATGAATGACTCTTTGGGGGCGTCTGGGGCACATGTCGAGAACCGGTTCTTGCTATATCGACGGCTGATCCGGTCAGGTTATCCCTTGTAGTGTTTGTTACGGTATCAATGGATCCAGATTCATCCTTTGTACGATGCGTTGCTGGCGTGACAAATGCTGGAGGCTCAGAGTCCGAATCTGTATCAAATAAATAATTTCGGATATATTATTGATCATGAGCAAGCATAAGGCTTATCAACAAGTCACCATTACCGCTCTCAATGTGATGATCCTCGTCTTTCGGCTCGCCTTCAATTTCATCAAAGAAGGAGCTATGAGAGGATGTCCCAAGAATCACAGGCTTGTCTGCAAATGTAATCGTCTTTGCACTGCCCGGTCTTCCCGCCGATCCTGGGCGAGACATTGCAAGTGATGAACGCTGCACCGATGTCGGTGGAGTGGCGGACTGTCGAGCTCCAGGCTGCTGCTCGCCTTTCAACTGCGATTGTGTTGTAGAGTCAGGCCCTGCTTGGGAAGTACGTCGACTGGTTGACACTTTATCATCCAGTTCTGATGACGACCGAGATCTTTCAGCAACTGAGCTTATGCCGCGAACTCGCTCAACGTCCAAATTTGGTGCGGATCCACCCAACTTGTCGAACCGAGCACTTTGTGGACGGGAAACGCATCGAACCTGTAGATCAGCAGCGTTCGATAACTGATTTGACTGTGTCCATTTCTCGCTCTTCCTGCAATCAGTATGTAGCAACTGTTCTAGATTCTCTATTCCGCCAAATGATGGGTCGGCGGATGGGGAGAGATCGACAATGTTTGGTAAGATACGCCGGGCTGGCTCTGGTATGGGTGAAGATTGTGATTTTTCCGGAGGAGGAGGGTAATTTGGCATAGGAGATGGCGCAAGGTCCGCGGTGTGCAGAGCTTCAAGCTCGTCATATAGAGATTTGTTACCACTACTTGCCCGAGACATTACAGGAGATTTCAGACTGGATTTGGAACGGGACTGAACTGAAGCGCTCCTACACCCGAAAAGCATGACTGTTAGAAGACTGCATCGGGCAAACAAGCGTGAACAGTACTCACGCTGACGTCCAGTCGTTGTCGCCGTCAAGTAATTCGACCGAGTAGCCTTTTACAACACGAACGCTTCGACCATTGTGAGCTGTAACATAACTGAGGTGACTTCGCCCTGCACGATTTGTCAGTTGGGGTTGATTCAGGTACATGGCCAATGCATCAAAGAATGGTACCTGATGATGGTCGCCTCGTCCTCCCCAATCCACAAGTATTTTCCGTATATGTGGTACAGGCAGGATGATCCTGCAAAAAACTGTCATCATTCCTCCTTTCCTTATCGTGTCCAAGGGTGGGAGCAGAGCACAAGACTTTCGGTGGAGCAGAGTGGATTTTCGATGCGCGGGTTGGATGGCGAGTTGGTATAGATGACTGTGAACGGCTTTGTGGGCGGTTGGAACAACGAGACAGAGATCTTGAACTGCTATTACAGGTGGGCATATGCGGTCTGGGTGGTGGGCGTTGTCCAGATAATGTGGTTGTAGATGTCCCTAATCTCCATGGAGGTGCAGCTGCTTCCAGCTTCGCTCTACGGGCTTCAAGTATACGAGCTCGTTCTCGATCATCTCTTTCTCGTTCTCGTCGCTTTTTCTCCAATGCCTCTCTATAATATACAAGACATGTAGCATTAGAAGCTTGGAACATCACCAGTCACGCGAGCCACATGCCGACCTTCGTCGTCGCTCCGTTTCGTTCGCAAGTCGCTGTATGGTCTTTTGGATCTCCATAGCCGCAGCCTTCTTGTCCTTTTCTTGCTCTCGCTGTAGATCCCGATACTTTCGTCTGTAGGCAAATCCGTAAAAAGTAAATAATAACCACAAATAAGTCAAAGATGCTCCCAGTATTATGTAATCGTTGCCAGAGCATCATGCTAATGGGAAACGTACGAGTACGCAACTCCACCCCGCGGCATGTGGGTGAAAGGTGGTATTGGGGGCGGGCGGGAAACATACGGTGTGGTGTTCGTGCTGGCGACAACTGATTGCTCCATCGCCGGATCTATAATGAAGCAAAACTCCGATCGGCGGGACGCGGCCTCATCTATTTTAACTTGGCTGAACGTGTTGCGACTTGGATGCCTGAACTATTCGTCTGAAGCAACCTCACTACGTTTTGCTGCATTCCGAAATTGAATTTACACATTTATTCTTCAACCCTTATCTACCCTCCGATACAATTGTCATTGAAATCGACAGCAACAAGGCCCGAATGCCACAAATGGGCTCCTAGATCTAACTAGACCCTTGTGTACTTTAGGCTCGCATTTCCTTCCATCGACCCTTATTTATCTCCCAATCATTATACCCACGGCAGAAGAGTCGTTTTATCTGTTCTTGAAGGCCTCGCAGAATCTGCGGGCTTGCTCTGCATTGGGGCGGGGAATGCGGTTTGCGCGTCACTGGCAGATGGAGAATTTCTGGTAACGTGCTGTACGATACGAATGCAGCAGAGAATCCAGCTGCACAAGAGGCACACGACTATGAGCGTTACGGAGAACAAGAATTAGTTTGCTTGATAGTATTATGCGGAATGATCGAAGAAGCTTACAGCAGGTTAGCACAGCATCAATGACAATCGAAAAGGGGGTTGTCGTTGCAATCGCAGCACCAACGGTAAGAGGAATCCAAAAGCAAGTTGCCCCAAACAGACATCGAAAAATAGTGTCGAGTTTTTTGGTATATTCGACTATATTGGTTTGCTTTTCGGTGCTCGCATCCATTCGTGTCATTACTCCACTCTGAGCCAGTTCCTTTTTCAAAGCGACGAGCAGCCGAATGGCTAGAATAGGTATGGCGACACCCATCAACGGTGCATAAGCAGCCCAGACAGCGAAGAGGATACCTCCCGCATCTTCACCAACTGAACCAAATTTGTCTCCTGCCGCAGCGACGATAATGATTCCTAAGGTGGACACTGCATATAGACTGTAGGTTACTATTATCGCAGCAGTGTTCCATCGTACATTGTATCTCATCATAGTCTGAACAGCGGGCAACAACCACAGTATAACTTGTAGCAAAAGAAAGGATCCGGTATTGAGGGTAAGTTCGGAAACAACAGTACCGATCCGAAAGGCATGGTTGTACGTTCGAAAGTGGTGAAGATCGTTCATTGTCGAAGCAATATACGAGAGAAGCATAACATATTGCGAAACCGCTGCGCAGAGAGCACCTCGCGTCCGACTACGGCTGTATCCCCAAGTTGTGTAGATGATATTTGCAGTACCCAAAGCAAGAGTGACGGCGTTGAAGGTCATTGACACTGGTAATGAGTTCCATGGTCCTGATAACATTTGTGGAAAAATTGGTGATGCACTGTGAAATGTTCAAGGAAGGTCTTATCAGCGGATAGTGTAGGTAGAGATGAGAAAAAAACAAGATTTTTGGATTTACTAGCTGTACCAGGGAAAGTGACATTAGCATGTTTTTACCGATACCAGTGCATCGGAAGCTTCCATGGTGGATTTCACTTGTTGCCCTAATTAGCGTGAAGTTATTTGGAATGGGATGCTTAAACTCGCGCATGATCCATTGGCGGAGATTTGCAATCGCTAGATAAAGTCAGCCTCCAAAAGTTAAGACGCCCACAAACTGTCCGTGTGTGCAAAATCAGAGAGGTGTCAGTACCAGAATTACTGACTAGAAGGGGAGACAATGCTCCGGGGCAGGGTAACCAAGCGATCGGCCAAAGGGGAGACGCCGAATTATTTGCCAAACAAAGGCGTTGGCAAAAGAGGATCTGGACATGAATGAGGCTTGTCTCCGCGGATTTCATTTGCAATACGCTTTTTTTAAAAACTTTATACCCTAAAGCTTTGATTGCTGAATGCAAGACACCATACTTAACAAACAAGGTTTATTTTCATTGCTCTTGGCGTGAACACGGGAATTAAGGTACTGTGAATGTTTATTTGTGATTTTGAGCCCAGTTGAATATTCCTCTTCTCGCAGCTGGGCTTGCGTACAGTTTCCGTTCCTTCCACTTTTTCCTTCACCCTGATCGTTGAATTTAGCTCAGGGAGACCTAAAATCCATAAATAACCGGGAGACATTCGCATTTATAGGAAAATGTCATGTATTGATTCTCGTGTTTCTTCCGCCACAAACTCTCCCTATTTTCTAGCCTAATGAAATTCTTATTTTAGTTTACAGGTACCCAACAACTAGTAGTCCGAAAACGACTGGTGCCAAAAAAAGTTGGGAGCCTGACAAATCCGAATGCACAAACTGACAAAGCCATTTACTAAAGAACCGCCTGTCCAACTTTTCCAACCCAATCTTATGAGCCAATGTTTTTGAGTTCGTAAAGGTCTAGGTTACCTATGGAGCCCTAAATTCTAGCCATCCGACTTTTGCACAGCATGGAATCCTGATCGGATCGAGCAAACGGTGACTGACAGCTTTGCGCTTATGCTTTTTTTGGAAGACGTTTGTGCTAGTCTACAGTTCTGTTGCTATCGTACGGTTCCGTACAGAAATGCAGGCAAGGACCATGCAAGTTACCTGCAGTGTCGGTTGTCGCAAGCGTCCCGCCTTGTTGTGCCGTATGAAATTTTAATTAGACCCTTACATGCGCTTGCTCAGTGAAGCAGAGTGACAGCCTCTTGTCTTGGCTGCGTGCAAAATACAACAGACAGTAATGACGTAGAGACAGTACATTTTTGGCAAAACCAATATTTACAACAAGGTTTACGACAAGACAGGAATATTTTCCAGAGTAGTTCGCGGGGCACTGACGCAATGCAGCGTCGTAGCTGAATCTGTTCAATTTGGCGATCGGATCCTCTCCATTTTTAGCGTGGTGCTTTGCAATCTAATGACACCAATGCCTTCATTTGTCCAACCTAACAAACCTCTATTTTTTCGGTGAGTATTGCTATCCGAAAGAACATGTATGAAATATTGCTGCGCCTGTAGATCCGGGTACTGCCGTATCCAGCTCCCCGTCCCTGAGTTTCGATGGCGAGAGGAACAGGATATCCAGTACTTGTAAGCACGCTCAGTAGCTGTACGAATTGTCCCTTTGCCATAATGCATCTCTGAAAACGGCACTTGTGCCAATGACTGGCAACGTTCTAATTCCCCCCATCATTGTGGAAATTAAAAAAAAGAAGTTAAAATCCTTAATGCTCCTTATGTGACATCATGCAATAACCTCACGGGACAACCTGCACTCGCAAAAGGCCTGCTGACCCCACAATCCCACCCCACAAATTTCCCCCCACCACATCGTTGACGTCATAATTCTTACGTCATGCGAGTCGCGTGACGAGCGTCGCGGGAGACTCCCTTCCGTTGTGGAGTTGTGAAGGGATACGAATGTTCTTAATAGGTCATGAATGAGATGACGTAGGATGGAGCACCTTCGTTGGGCGATGAGAGCGAGGAGGGCGAAAGGGCCAGTCCTGCGTCTATAAAAGGGCGCACTGTTGAGCTTCCCTCTTCGACATTAACGCAACAAACTCAACACAAAAACAACTACTCGAACACACAAAGCTTCAGCTTTAAACCAATCTACTTTTACTACCTCAAACACATCTAAACAACATGTCTTCCTCTCCTTCTCGCGTAAGTAGTAATATTACTTGGACTTGGTAAAAAAGGGCTAGGATTCGTACTCACAAGGGCCTTCACTTCTAGACTCACGGTAACATGGAATCCGCCAAGGGCGCCGTAAAAGAGAACGTTGGCAAGGTACTCGGTAACCAATCGATGAGAGTCGAGGGTGCTTCCCAGCGCGCGGCCGGTAACGCCGAAGTAGAGGCTGTCAAGACGGCCAACTATGCTGATGGGCAAATGGACTCGATGGGCGGATCTATCAAGAAGAACGTGGGAAGTGCCATTGGGAATGAGCGGATGCAGGCATCAGGGGCCCAGACAGAGGCTGCGGGTGAGATGAAGAAGGCTGCGAACCAGTAAACTTTGTATACTATAAATAAAGAACATTGGACCATATTGTGACTATATGTTGTTTGGAGTCCCACGTAGTGGCCTAATTCCTAGTGAATAAAATTCAATTCCAGCGTCCATCTAGAGGATTATTTATGGAACAAGAGATATCAATCAAGGTTTCTTTCCCTGGAATTCTATCCAAATCTTTTTCACGGGATCATCGGAAGCCGTTGGATCTTCGGGACCGTGTGATTCGACTTTAACGTCCACGAACCCGATTTGTTCCATCAAGGCTTTTAACGATTTTGCCGAGTGGAGATACCGTACAACGGAGCCCGCATTCCCTTCATTGGCGCGACCGCGCCGCCACTCACCTTCCTGAAGGGCGCCAACGCATGTTCCCAAAAAAATCCCTTTAAATTCGAGCAGCGAAAGGATACGTCTTAAAAATGCTTCACATTGCGCAGCGGAGAAAACATGCAAGACTGCCGACGCGGCGATATACGTTAGCGGTTCAATGCTCGAAGCCTCGACTGCACCGACGGCTCCAGCTGGAACAGCCATGTCTCCAAATGTCGTCTTGACCGCATGAATCCTCTCACTATCATTGTACAGACGTTGTCCTAGTTTCCAGTAGCCGTCGTGAAGATCGGAGGCGGCGATTTGTGACGCTGGAACTCCATGGTGGATGAGTGCGCGTACATCGGTTCCATAGGCGCAACCCGCATCAAGGATGCGCGGAGGTGGCAAGTTAGATTTTTGGGCTTGCTGGAAGCTTTGGAGAATGGTGGGATAGAGAGAGTGTTTGGTGATGCGTGGCTCTAGGAACATGAGAGTTTGAACGCATTTGTACACATGCAGCTGCGGGAAAGTTTCAGCGCTCTGTTCAGCTCTTGTTCAGTAGCAGACAATGATGACCCACCCTTTCTCTGCTCTCCCTCCAAATATCAAACACTCTTTCCTTTAGCGCGTTCAAATTCTGTTCTCCAGTGTAAGCCTTCAAGAACGCCAAACTGGCATCGGGTATCTCGTCCGGAACAGGGGCGTTGGCAAACGAGTAATGTTCTTGGTTAGGACGTGTATCATGCATGGCAGACAACCACCGTCTATTTTGCAAGCTGTCCGTTCGACTTTGTCGTTCGTTGGAGTGTTATTTTCTTGCAAGCAAGGTTAAATGCCCCCCGGTCCCTATTTTGTGGTTTTTCTGTGCGGGAGACACCTACAGCCACCAATCGGACCCAATTCTCCCAAAAATGGAACTTCGTCATGGAGCCATGGTTCCGGAATGGATGGAAGTTGACTCACAGCCTTGGAGTATTTTCCATGCCGCCATTTAGCCGTGGTTACGGAACTTCCCCATTTATCGCGAGTGTTCTTGTGGTTACGTAGAGGGCGAAGCAACACACTCAGCCACTTATTATTTGTTTACAGCAGGTGCAATGTCGCGCAACGTGATCAGCGAGACGACACCTGCTGTAGGTCGACGACCTCTGCATTGGAAATAGTGACATGTTGGCAACCTTTATGAACGTGTTACCACATGGGGTCCCGTGGCACGTAAGTACGATGACGATGTGCCAAGTTTTGATAATTTGACCCTCCGCCAATAGCAGCTTTACATAGTGTCCTTTCGGGCAGACCTCGTTTGTGTTGGGCATTATCTTTCCAAACATCATTTCGTATATCCGGCCATCACTTCTTGCATTTTAGATCAAAGGCTGAGCAACGTCAAGATTTTGCATGGGGAGATTCGCCCACGTTACAACGTTGTAGAAGGTGGCCCGTCAGTATGGGAAGCAGGGAGGCATGGAACAAAAATGCTGACAAAGCTTCGTGGACATTCCAAATTTTCGTATTGCGCTTAGTGACGATTTTTTTTTTCCGATGCTTACAAAGAATTAGGATGACAGCGTAGTTAAGCACACTTAGCCATGTAGCACATGGGCAATGGCGTAACGCTGCGTTTAACAAAAGTTGATGGATCACAAAGGCAGCTTGTTCGCAAAAAAATTAGTAGTAAAATGCAACACATGCGGACTCAAAAAGTGTAAAATGTAAAATGGAGGATAGATCATGGTTTCTTGTACTTGCGTTCAAGACTTTTTTAACGGAAAATCCGTGGCTGACGACTCTGTGATGTCAAATATAAAAGAGGACGGAGCGGGTTGCCTTACCTGCAATGACGAGGTTCTAAGTCGATTGATAAAAATCTTTTAGAATAGACCCGACTCTCCGGCTTTGCAAACTACGACCTACGAAAATGACCAAATACCTGGCCACCATCATCACCATCTTCGTTGCCCTTTTAGTCCTCTGTGCATCCATGGCGGACGCCGATTCGTGTCGCGGCAAGCATCGGGCCAAGAACTACTCTGGTCCCTGCATCAGAGAAGTATCTTGTCGGGATTACTGCAAGAATGAAGAAGGCAAGCACACCGGACTCTGCGAGCGGGACGGTTTCGGCAGGGCATGCTTCTGCTGTGATGGATGCCACACTGATAATAACGGCAACTGCTGTGGCGAAGCCACTGGCAAACCCTGCAATTGAACCCGCCGCGACCGTAGCGTAGCCGCACTTGCCAATGTTCAGCACTAGATGATAGCATATGTCAGCAGAAGGATTTATTTTTTAATAAAAAAGGGAGTTCGCCCAACTTCCGATCTGTACCGCCCTTTGGGCTGATCGTCTAATCAGAAGTCTGTGCGGGCAAAGAAAGACTACATTTGTGAGCGAGGACGGGGGTTCAGCTGCCAAAGTCGTTCACAAGCACATGTCAAAAAACACAGCCCACCCCACAGTGCCAATATGGCCAGAGGCTCAGTTGAGACTGTAAGGCACAGTCACATGAATCTGTGGCTCAGATGTGTAAACGTCATTCCCAGTGACTGGCAAAAAGCAAGGATCGGCTTTGTCAAAAAGTGACACCTGACGTAGACCTGAGCAGTTTGATGAATGGCCCTTTCTGAAGGGGAACCGGCGGAGATGGGTCGATTCGTCTGTTCGGACATATCGATAGAGGTGTGATGAGGTGTTGCAGCCAGCTGGCTCTGCGCTTCAATTTGTCACCTGCATCCTTTTTGCCCGTTTATCATTTTGCCCACGTCACCCCCAGCGTCGACAAGCTCCTCCATATAAAATCTCACCGCCCTCCAGTCCTCGCCGGATAAATCTGAACTTTTACGCTTTCGGACGAACAATGCATATTCAACCAACAAAACGCTCTCGACCACGGTCCTTTTCGGAACCTATCAAATGGTCGTCCATTGTAAAAATGCCAGCATCAACATGGACTCGGTTATGGGATAAGCGAAGCATTGACTTTGGGCTACATGCTGCGTGTTCTGGTAAGCCATGTGTGATGGCTTGAATGTTCACCACACCCAGAACTGACTCAAACTCATGATAGCTGGCGATATTGGTTGGGTCAAATTTGCCCTCGACAACGGCCAGTCTGTGAACGCTGTCTTTCACGGCATGACGCCTCTGCACGTTGCAGCTGGACAAGGTGACATTGGGGTCATCCGGCTTCTTATCCAACGTGGTGCATATGTAAATGGACCAAGACTATCGAAAACTCGCAGCGCCGACAACTTGAACGACCTATACCACCAGCCAGAAGGCTCATCCTTGACCATTCGTGGTCAAACCGCTCTTCATTTTGCCGCTGCAAACGGGCACCTGGAAGTCGTTCGCGAATTGCTAGTACATGGAGCATGTCCAACCATACGAGACGAATTCAACTGCTCTTCCATAGATGTTGCGGCGGCCGTTGGGAGGAGGGACATTGTAGATGTTTTACTCCGAACCGCCCAGGCGTGGGATACAAAAGAACGCGACATTGACCGACAATCGGTACAATCGAGAAAGAGTGGGAACGAGGGAAGGAGCAAAAGGATTTCATTGTGGGGTGCAAGACGGAATAGCTTCCTAGAGCGTCCATATCGATTCTCATTGAAGCCGATCATTCCCTCTGGCCGTGTGGTGCCTGTTGCTGCTTCGTGATATGGACGATAGGAATATTGAGATGCGGATGAGGCCAGTTAGCGATACCCTATCTTTTGGACTGTACATATTTGTTGCATTTGTGTGAATAGGAATTCTTGTCTTTTTTGCATATTATTTTTTGTGTCGGTTTTGTTGAGCAGTTCCTCGTCAGAACTCCATGTACTGGTATTGTACAGTACGTAATGGATTTGTCACGTGAAGCTACTGATGATTCATCACAATTACCCACGTCAAAAGTTCGCACAACCTTCCACTTTCCACACCATCTTTGCTTGAGCGGCATGTCATCTCCGAAGCGCCCACCTATTATTGAGCCTCCAACTGAGGATCCCGATTTTATTGGTTACGCTCAGGCTGCCGGAGCACGGGGATATGGGGCTATCCCGGGATCTCCCTCTAGCGCCCCGCCCATCTTTGTCGCCCCACCGGCGTACTTGAATGACAATGACTTGCCAGATGACTTGTACGTTGCTGTTGACTGTAGATTGTAAACAATAAAGTTGCCTAACAGTTTTGACTTTCCGGCAGCAAATATGGTGTTTCGGTTGCCAATGCGGATCTTGCCATTCGCCTCGGTATGTAGTTACTCGTGCAGACGAAAGGACAAACCAAAAATGCCTAGAGATATTAAAATCTTCACTTTATCATCACATTTAAACAGCATTTGTCAGAAAAGTTTATACCATCCTCGCCTGCCAACTCGGTTTGACCGGTGCGGTATCCGCCCTTTTCATGACAAATGAAACGGTGAAGCAATGGGTGCAAACCAAGTGCGTATAGTTGAGCTAGTCAGATTTATTAGATATTGATTGGAATCTCACCTATCATGCTCCTTCTAGCATATGGGCAATGTATCTTTCATGGCTCGCGACGTTTGGCGTCCTGTTTGCTTTGATAGTCAAGCGTAGATCTCATCCAGTCAACTTGTACGTTACATCGCCGTGTCAAGTTTTGATTTCAGACTCTTGACTGATATAGCCCCTTACCATAGGTGGCTCTTGGGGCTCTTCACCCTCCTGGAAGCATATTCGATCGGCACTGTCGGTGAGTGACTGATGTGTCCTTTCGATTCCTGAATTCGGTCTGAAAGTGGTGCACATTCTACCGTCTAGTGTCATTTTTTGACTCTGTTACAGTGCTACAAGCCGTTGTCTTGACTTTTGCGCTGTATGTCGGGTTGCTGTGAACTGAGGCTGTGCCAATCACTGGGTTTGACAATAACTCTTTCTGTTGCAGATTTGTGGGGTTGACGCTCTTCACACTGCAGAGCAAGTATGACTTTTCTTCATGGGGCCCCTTCCTTTTTGGCACACTTTGGGTAAGCGATTCACCGACTTGCTAGATGAGAAGTATTCACCCTTTTTCTCATGTGTGAATGTTTTAGGTGATCATTATAGGAACATTCATTCAAATCTTCTTGCCATATAACTCAACCTTCAACCTCATTATTGCCGTTGCGACTGCCGTTTTGTTTTGCGCGTTTATTGTTTACGTACGTAGTGATATCGGCAGCTAAATGGTCATAGCATAAAGAATAATGGATCATCTCCTCTAGGACACGCAAGAGATTTTTACCAAGCTAAGTCCCGAAGAATATATTGCAGCGGCTGTGGAGGTACATTAAATGCTGATCTTTGCAACCAATGTCAGGAAGGTTGATCTCTTGTTTCCACAGCTCTACCTGGACCTCATCAATTTGTTTTTGGCGATCCTCCGTATTTTGGACGCGCGTGACTGAACAGTCATCAAAGTGCATTCTTTGCGCTTCAGTTGACAGCCCTCATGGACTAGCAATCTCCGGCAGTACGAGCGAGAGTAATCCTGTATATTTGTATTTTTGTATCTGTATTTTGGATCTGATTCTGAACATGGCCACGTGTCCCTCATATGACTTGTCGGACGCTATGGCAACAGTTCCGGTTTTTATTCTTCTTGCATTTTCACATGGCCGCGTCGTCCTCGTCTCGCCTTCGCCCTCGCTTCACAGCCGTGCACAGCTGTGGGCGGGTTTCCTCCCCTCGCTCATGCAAACGAGATACCGCTAGAGTGAAGTACAAATGTGCATGTAAGTTTGCGTTATGCATCCCTCAACCCCTTTGGACACCGCCCAAAGACACTGCGAAAAGTGATGAGTTTAGTCGAAACAAAAATGATAGGAATAGCCGTCAGATGGTCCCACGACCGGTTGATGTACAAAAATCACTCTGAAACCGTTGACGTCTTTTTGAGATTGGGAATGGGGGGACGACAGGGATGAGGCTTGATAAGGCATAGCATCGATCTGATCCTCTTTGTCCTACAGGTCATGGCGACGGGGTTGAATGCTGTGCTGGTGGTGACCTTCAGTTTCTTCAAGGTGGTGAATGAGATGAGAAAGAAAATGGTTTGTTCTTGTTCATTTGGTTTCCAAGTTAATTTGCATAGATAGTTCCTTTATTGCATATGTATACTGTTTACAAATACGATACAAATAATGTACAAATGTCTCTAAAAAGACAGATCGTCCATGAGAGCCCACCTCCCCCGGACCCCACCTATTTAGTAATGTCAAACTCGGTTTGCAGCTTGACTAAACCCTTTTCGCAGTTTATCCAAAGCGGCATCTGCTCCCACCAACGCATTTCGTCGCAAATAGGTTTTGGCAGGTACAACGTCGTCAAGCGTCTCAATAGGAAGATGGCTATTTGGTGTCCATGATGAGGTAGGGGTGAGAAGGAGGGACGTGGATTGGAGGGTTGTGGTTGTGGTTGATGAACTTGGCATTTGGATGTTGGAGATGTGGGGATTGTGTGATCAGTTGCGAGCAAAGGAAAGGAATTTGGTCGTAGAGGGATTTGCTTTATACCACTAGCCCGCAGTTTGAAAACTGCGCAAAAGTCTTTTCCCTTTTTTTCTTCTATTGAAAATCTCCCCTACGTCACCATACAATGCCCAAGGAAAAAAAAAAACGGCAGGAAGATTGTGTTATGGCAAAAGACTTTGCAACTTTAAGAAAAAGCAAAAAAGTCGCACGGTCGGAATTTGAAATTTCTTTCTTGTAACCAACAAAGCATTTTATGACTGTAATTATATAATACAGACTTGGATGCCGTTCCGCCAGCTTCTGTGGCGCAATTGGTTAGCGCGTTCGGCTGTTATCTGAGGTAGCTACCGAGAGGTTGCCAGTTCGACCCTGGCCAGGAGCGTTCGAATGTTTGAGCCGACTTTTTGCTTTTGCTGCCATTATATACTCGACTTCACGAGCCTTGATATATTTTTCCAGAGTACCGCCTTTTTAACAGGATCGACTTCAGAAATAGGCAGTGCACGGTGTCGGACGAATACTTGAGGCCTCATGAATTCGACAAGATATGGAAACGACATGGCGCACGCCGTCGGACAACGAGCCCAATCAATTTAGCCACGCTTGCCAATTGCTCAAAAGTCTTCATAGGAAAATGAATTAATTTCATCAGAAAGAACTGGGCAACTTCACGCAAATCGAATGTAACGCATACATGCATGCATATATAAACAAATGATAGATGTTCCAAATATATATCCCATGGCCACATGACTAATCCCCACAGCATCAAGCGTCAAAGCATGCACAAACATATGATAACACTCCTTCCTTCATCACTTTGGTGTTCTTTACGAACTGTCGATTAGCGAAAAGCATAACGCATACACGCATGCATATATAAACAAATGATAGATGTTCCAAATATATATCCGTGGCCACATGACTAATCCCCACAGCATCAAGCGTCAAAGCATGCACAAACATATGATAACGCTCCTTCCTTCATCACTCTGGTGTTCTTTACAAACTCTCGATTAGCGAAAAGCAGCTTGGCTTCCACGCCATCGGGCCCATTCGTGTAATCCTCGCAGTACACGCCGTCCCTACTACATGCCATTGGCTCCTGGATAAGATCAAAAAGACTTTTTTTCACGAGATCTGTCTCGCTCTGGTCGCGGTAGCCATTGGCCATTTGCACCTGATCTGACAAGATGTTTGCGACACCGCCAGCGCCAACGTGTTGTTCGGCGGCAATTTGCATGCAGTTTTGGTTCGAGTTTGTGCGGCACTTGATGTTTGGTAAGGCCGAGGTTGGAAGAGTGTAGGCGAGTAGAGGAACTACCACCGAGAGAAATGATGTACAGTCGAAGCGCATTCTTTGTGGTTGATGGGTTTCTAAGGGCGCACAGTCATTAGTGATATGCTGCTCAATCTCAATGATCAATTACCACTTTACCTGTTGAAAGAGGGCTACGGATATTGTTATGGAGGTAAGAATACGGAAGTATTACCTCTTATAGGCCTATGGGGAGCCCAGTTGTAGAATCATCTTCAGCCATCCCCAGCCGTTATGGCAGCGACTTTCTCCCACAGTGAACAACCGACAACGTGCGCCCTCCGACGAATTGTTCTTCCTCACTGCGGTAAACAAATTTTACGGGAGTGGACAAAGGTGCAGCCAGCGATATTGTCCTCCGTGTTGCGTGCATTCAGAGCGGGCCATATGTTGGCGGGGAGCAGGCAGTGGATGTAGCAGAGTTTTGGACAATGGGCAACATTGCCGACTCGCGGAGCTACACATCATTGCACAGCTCCCGCCAGATAACGAAAGCGACTGTCACCTTCTGCTGCGACGAGTGCGTTTGTCGTTGGGAGGTTCACGCGCGCGTCGGAGGGCGGGCGCAGTTGAAAATATTAGAAAGTTCCCTGCCACTGATCACTTCAGCCGTTGTGGGGTACCGCAGGGCTGCAACATAAATGCACACAATTTGTTTTCAAATATTTATAAAATATAAACGATCATAAATCATCTTTAGCATGAAGTGAACCCTGAATTGGGACCGTTAGAACATTTATTGTACCTATAAAGCTTGCAAACGTTGCCGCTGCTTTGAAAGTTTGGAGCATTTTGACAGAACGTTTGGTCGCATTTGCCATTCTTGGCGATACCAGCGAACAATGGATTGGAACAAAATGTTCCTTGCTCTACCGTAAGCATCTTCTCCTTGGGAAGTCTCCTTTCGCTGTGCTTTGATGGACAAGATGCGATCCAGATCACAACAGCAACGATAAAATGGCATTCTTCATTCTTATTCCGCTACCTACTTGACATATAAAAGGTAAAAAGCACCAGATACAGCAATACCATTTGAAATCATAACAAAGTTCGATAGCTCAATTTGGAATACCAGTGAGGGCCAGCCCAAAGTGTGGAACGCTTTTATAAATGTTTCATCTACCAATAACACAGAGTTCTAAATGACAAACGATACCATGGTGCCCACAAACATTTTGTATCTGGTGGCACTGACCTCCATGACTACTAACAGCTGCCCGAGCGCAATGGAGATACGAATCGTTCTTTCCGCTAATTACAATATTACGAATAGAAGTTTGTGAACAGAGTCTCAATATGAGCAAAAAGCTTTTGGTTCGAGGTCTCCAATGATCATCATTAATATAAATATAATTAAGAAAGTACGAATTTATGATACAAAGAGAGATCAAATTTCTATATGCCATTCCGTCTGTACGAAAGCGGGACCAAAGGAAAGACCTTTGAAAAATAAGGAATCTAAAAAAGAGCGGGTAGGTTAGCAAAAAAGTAGATGGACATACAGAAAGACCTTGCAAGATGCTATTGGAGGACAGCCCACGAGTGACTGCTTGCCGTAGCCGCCAAAACCCCCCCTATGGTGCCCAGCTCCCGAAAGATACCGTGAATCGCAGTTGATCAATCAACTGAGGGTCACGGCCCCAGCAAAGCTCACATCATCTAACTCTGGTCGCTAAACGGATCGTAGCCCGCGGAGAGGTGTGGCCCCAGCAGGCATAAAAGCCCCGAAATGATGCACAGACCTCGCCAGAACGAACTAATCGACGCGTCCGCAGAGCCGCCCTTATCCGCCCACCTCAGCAAAAACCTTCGATTGTAGTCCCCAGGATCCGTATGGCACCAGCAGGCGAGAGCCCCGAATATGCACATAATTAGCCAAGTAAAGGACTGATCGCTTGGCCAACTGAGGTAGCTGACGATGCAAGCACGATGAAACCCATCCACTTTCAGCCGCCTACCCACCTAAGAGTTCATCCGGGATGAAGAGCCCGAGTGATTTCACGAATGCGAAGGAATGAAGGAGAAAGGGAGAAACGATGGGGGAGGGCCTTTTTATAGACGACAACGCGTCAAGGGGTTGCACGTGGACACGCGTTCATCCAATCAGCGCGACGCACGTTCGACCAATCAGCGACATTCGAGAGTGATGAATCAAACTAATTAGGTAGCCAGCACCTAAGTATTACGTAATCTGTCCATAGTGAGCTCTGAGCAGTGTTCATCTGATATCACATGCTGTGCACAGTCACCCAAAAGATTCTGAAACGCGCAACCCAGCGTCATGAAACAATATTGACATTCTCACTATAAATACCAAATCACTCCTACTTGCAATTGTCAAGGTCCTTCGGGACCCTCTGACATCAATTAAAATTGGAATCGATACAGAGAAGATTAGCATGGCCCCTGCGCAAGGATGACACGCTAGAACTGAGTGGATGCCCCTACGGGGGCTAAATCTTTTGTCGCTTGACCACGGTCATGTGACCCGATGACATGACGCGCAGAAAGGAACACATGAGTGCGTGGAGGAAAGTGCCAAGATGCGGTAGGCGCTGCCCACGGGTGTGAAAGGACGTGGTATGTAAATAGGAAGTCAGACGGAGCCCTTAGAGTACTTTCTGGGAGGCCAGTGGAGACAGGGCACGCTAGAGACGAGGACTGGCACCACGGGAAAAGCGCATGAAGATGCGCGTGGACAACTCCGTACGGCCGGCGCAAACTCAGCCGAGATAGGGGACGCTCGATCGATTTCTCCAAAGCTCAACGGAGGACGAGTCCCAAGCAGGTGCAATGCAGGGGACGAAAGATTGCAACAGTGTCCAAACACCCAACGAACTGAATCAACAGAGGGCGCGATAACCGAGTGCAGCGCAAGCTAGAAGGGTGTGTGGTGGATCTATTCAATGAACGATGAGGGTACGCTATGGTCAATGCACCCAAGAGTTTGCAAAAGTCAGAGTGGAACGGAGGCCTAACGGATTGATTGACAGCCGAGTACAAGGCACGCCGCTAGGGTGAATGCGTCGGGAACCTACGAAAGCCAGAGTGGGACCGAGTGCTCAGGGCCAACGGACCATGGACTACAAGTAACAGTTTCCTACTCTGCGTCGCTAGTTCAGGGCCGACTCATTAAACATACAAGACATAAGGCGGTTCGGGGTGACCAAGAAGTATTCTAAACCAGTGCACATGGGACTGAATACGTGAGCAGGCAGCATGTAGAAAAGATGTCGCCGAATGAGCCTCAGACGAAACCGGGCCTGACGGTGAATAGTCTAAAAACCAAAAATCTCGGAATCAAAACTACTCGACCCCTAGTGCACATGGTACCGTGTATCTAGAAACGTGTATCCGATTGATGCTGGTCGTGAATGTGCCATATGGGGTCCAACCATTTTGGAAGCAAAACTACAGTACATATGCATTGCTTGCGTTCACTGGAGACTACTACTCCAGAATGGTGGCTGACGCACACACACATTATCTTGCGATCCATCCTGCTGCCAGCAAAAGCTAAAATTGGATGTATTGGTTGATTGATCAATGAAAACATCATGGGAAATCTCCACAAGTTGTCCAATCTAAGAATCCACCTCTGCCAATCGAACCAATGCACCCCAATCGATATGCCAGCTGCCGGTTCATCCATCTGAACAGGAGGTGTGATGAAAATGGCGGTTGGTTGCGGCAGAAGAATAATTATTATATAGACAAATTCAAAGTACTGATATGAGCATGCCTTATAAACATTGCATGCGAATAGAATAACTCGAATGAACACATTGCGCCTGGGCGCAACAGCGGAGTTTTCCGTAATGACCAGATTCAAACCTAATCTGGTGCAACTGTAGATTGCTTATATGCGCCAATACAATTGAAGCCATGACGATTAAGAAGTGTGCGAATGCAGCACAAACCTCATGGTGAAGCTGATATGAAATACTCATTAAGGCCAACAAAATCGAACCAAAGTCCATTTCTAACCCAATGCTGTGTGCCTGCAAATGCGATAGAACCATTGTACGGACCCGCTATCTGAAGATCCTTTTACTCCTCCAATGAGATTGCCATGAAAGAGCCAATATGTTTTAAGCAAGCTTGATAAACGCAAATAATCGCATCTGGAATCTGCATGTTTCCTCCGTAATCAAAGTAGTATCAACGTATGCAGGGTTAAGCTTCATCTTTAATTTCGTTGAGCACACTCACTGCTGACGTGTTCTGACGAATAAATTCATAAAACGGTAATGTCACACCAAGACCGCGTTTTCAAATGCAACATATCCATAAATGGTATCGATCATTTAGACACAGTGTTTCAAGAAGCAATTGGCCAAAAGACTGCAAAGGTTTGTTTAAAAGGCGCTTGGACAAAGGCCAACGACCGTTTTTTTGTCAACGAGCATCATCTCATTAGCAACATTACAACTCGCCAATAACACAATAGAGTAACATACTTTGCAAGCAAGCAATATGGGTCTTGGACGCTTCAACTGGTACCCATGGGCCCGCTATCTTGGACTTAATTCCGGCTTTTGTAAGTGATGAGTGGAGCGCAGTTTTGGACGTTTTCATTGTCCATTCCTAACTTGCACTCTCAACAGTCATTCTGACCGGTGGAGTTATTGGACTATGGTATCCCAAAATGATTTTGGGTGTCATTAATATGTAAGTCGGCAACGTTAGCTTAAACGTTTGTCGTAATTGGTAATTCTTACCGTCTACCTTCGTTCCAGTGTTGTCGGGCTCTTCCTCATGGGGTGGAACTGGCCTGTCGCTCCCTTCACCCTCCTGGGACCATTCTCTTCAAACTTGTGGATCCGGGCGGTCTTCCATGCCGCTGCTATAGCCCCGAGTATCCTCCTTGCCCCAACCTCGACGGGAGCAATGTGCCTTGTCTTTGCTGTATTGATGTTTATTCGAGCGGCCACCAATGGTGAGAAATGGGAACCACCAAAGCCAAGGGCAAAGAGGGATGCTGGTGGAAAGGATATGAGTGCCATCAAAGCGCCCGAGAACTAAAAAAAGGATGAGGTGTCTGGACACCACTTGGCGGATTTGTACATATTTTGCCCCTTCAGTTGTATTTTCTTGTGACATGTCTCTGGTCTCTTTGTCCAAACCCACTCTTGGGACTTTGTGAACATTGAGCGATATATATTCCATAAATAAAAAAGTGTAGATTTCACCTTCTAAAACAAACTTTCCATATTGCATCTTTACGTCTCTGTTTTCGTTTTGATTTAAAAACGATTTTCGGACTCGTATATATATATACAAAAAGATTGGGGTTGTCCTTTTGCTATCGCTACGTCCCAACAGCAAAAGAAAATTCATCATTACCCTCGGGAGCCACATTCATTTCCCCAAAAGAAAGGTTAACACCTTCTACCGTTCCCTCCATTAACACAGTTTCACTTCCACGCCGTCCAAAAAGAACGTCGGGGTCAATACCAACAGCCTGGGATGGTACATCCAACATACTCTGACTTGCTTCGTTATCTTCGTCACCGTAATTCATAACACCAGTCAACATTTGCACACCCGAAAGGCCTGGCGAATGCTTTGAACGCCGAGAAAGGGTTTCTTCCCGAGACTCGGCCCTGCCGATATGAGTGGGAATGTCATCGTCCATGGAGAGCCGAATATTACGTCCCTCTTCTTCTAAAACTTTTTCAAAGTCGTCCTGTTCATCGTGTTCAGAAGGCCGGCCATCAAAACCCTCGTCTCCAGCCCACCCAGCCCCCTGCCCATACATTCCCTCCTTTTCATCGAAATGTCCGTACTCGGGAGTGGAGGTCCGGGGAGTGCGGAAACGGTCCGTTGATACAGGACGCTGGACTGTTAAAGAAATGGGTGATGACCGGCCGCCAAGGCGATCAGGACTATTCGATCGTTGGCCGTTATCGCGATACGCACGCCCACTCTTTGGTGATCGGGCTAGTTCCTCACCAAATCGTAGAATCTCATCTAATCGGTTTCTATCGCGCGACAAAGAAGACTTTCCTGAAAATGGCGGTTCACGCTGGGTTCTGGACGAAGGCTGCATATCTGGCCTTGCCAGCAAGGACGATAACTGGGCTTCGGCGTCAAGAGGGGCAGAGCGCCCTCTGTCAGCTGTCCCTGTGTGTGATCCCAATCGCTCGACTCGATATGAACCGGATTGTGGTGATGGGATCCTGTCCCTTCCAGCCCCTCCCATGTCTGCTCTAGGAAATCTTGGGGATCCGGATGGCTCAGGTCTTGAGGAGACTGTATGCCCACCGTGATCTTGGAACCTCGCGGACGGCCCCGTTTCACTTTGTGAATGGACCGACGGATTCCTTGGACCCGATTCATCTCCTCGTCTCGAAAGAAAACGGCTATTAGAAGCTCCAAAATGCCCATTGCGCTCTCTTTCGACGCGGTGCGCGTCCGCACCTACGTCATCAACTCCGTGAATTGGAACAAAGTCTCCACTACCACCCCCACCGCGTCGATCAACAGGAGATGTGGAGCGCTCTCTGAAATGCGTCACTTGCCCATTATCATCACGACGCTCTCGGACATTTTGTGCTGGAGGCGTCAGTGGGCGTCGCAATTTTTCCAAAGAAGTTCGCCGGATGGATTTCCGCATTGCTGATGCAAGAAATAAGCCAATGATTCGCCCAAATGATTTGGCAGCCAGATACGAACCTTCAGAAAGCTCCGCTAATGAATGCACAGCATCGGCAGCGTGGACAAGTACACGACCGGGTTGGATACTATGGTCGAGTCCAAGGGTATCCCGCAAGCGTCCCAGCCCTTGTAAAACGGAGTTAGATGAACCATGCATTGTTGTAGAGACTCGATCGTCAACTTACCAGCTTGGACCTCAGCGTAAAAGACATACAAGTCATTCATCTTCGCCTGAACATCCTCAGTAGGACGTAGTTCAAATAGATCACGGAAATGGTTGACAGCCAAGTAGGCTGCGTCGTTGACAGGCTGCGAATGGGAACTGTTAATTACGCGTCAGCATAGATTCCAGAGAGGGTAAACACTCACTGCCCCAGCGCTCGGTACGCGCTGTCTTTGCTGTTGTCCAGACTGCATTCGCCTGATTGCTTCGAGACAGTTCTCATCGCTGCTAGCCGTTTGCCTCGTTCTCATGATATCATGCACCCGTCTGCGGAAGTCCTGTTGTAAGATCGTTAGTTGTCAGTCTGGGGCTCACCGCGTATGTAATGCAACGCACCCGAAGAACTTCGATATCGCCGATAGATTTGGCCCAGCTTTCGACGACCTCCAGCGTTTCTGGTAACCGGTGATAGAGACGAGGCCCAAGTTGGACATCCCCCTCATTTTCATTATCACCCAGGAATCGCGATTTATGCGCCCAGACAGCTCCATCGACTCCTTGAATAAACTATAATACTTGTCAGAAATGCAAGGTCCGCTCAATAACGACATTGCTTTTTTTGATCCCCACCTTTTCCATTTGAGGAACAAGTCTAATGACCGTCTCAACGGTTTCCAACGCAGTCGACAAACGATCAATGTCGTTAATATCAAATTTAACACACACATCCTAATACGATGGTAGGTCTTGAGTGGGATTATTCCTAGGCATGGAAAGCACAGCCACACACACCTTGAGCAATTCCTGACATTCTTCAAGCGAGAGGTTATCAATCTTGAACAATCTCAGCTTGTATGCTTTCTTGTCCATCCGGATCAGGTCCCTCGTTTTCAAACCGTTCGCTAAAAGAAAAAAAGAAACTAAGAATGAAAGAGCAACATCTATGGGTCCATGGTCATTTACCTCTCTCTCGCTTTGTCTGCTCCATCCAGTCAGCCTTTTTGGAAGCCAGAAGCTGAAGTTTTAATAGGTCGGCCTCCTTTTGTGATTCACGCAGGGCCTGGGTCATGGCTTCGAGGCGCGCCTGTAATCCCTAAAGCAGAGCATTAGCATCCGCAACTCAATATCCTACAGAACCGGGCAGCGCGTACATTGATCTGTTGGCCCATAGCTCTCTGCAACTGCTCGGCCCTCTCTTCTTCCAATGTAAGTTCCAGCGCACCCTTGCCACGGGCAGCAAGCTCCGCCTCAAGATCAATGCCATCTCTCGCCGATACTGCTCGTGACGAGTGTCCATTCTTTGACGCCCTGAACGACGACATTGGTTCAAACTTTCCATTAGCCTCCTCCTGGGGGGAAGACCGACTTCGGGTCTGTTGCGACATCTCTACAAGTTTCACTCTAGAAATGTCAACATGATGAGCGATTGCATTTGAGTTCGGTTCTCGCGTCCTGTATCGTTCTCCTACCGAAGTGTTTCGACTTCTTGGCGAGCTTTGCTGAGTTTATCTTCATATACTTCAATAACTTCCAAAGTCAAGCGATCCAGCCCGCTTTTGTTCGGATTACGATGATATTGACCGGTGATAGTCATAAAAGTACGTTCATTGCGCTGTCGCGTTTTTTCCGCCTATTTCGCGCTTAAATACACGGTTCGGATGAAGTTATCAAAAGTCCTCTCTCACCTTTTCCACCATATGGGCCATTTCCATTTTGATACGTTCAACCCGATCTTCCTCCTCTTTCATATGCTTCTTTAGACTTTCATAGCGCTTACGGAGGTCAGCGCATTCAGCTCGGGCGGTCGCAAGTTCCGCCGTCAAAGTGGCGTTTTGCGTGACGGACGCCTTTATGGTTTTCTATATAGCGACCCAGCAGTCAAATTAATATCATGTTGGCAGAAACCACTGGTCAACCTTTCTGTTACCTGCAGCTCATCTATTGTTCGCATATCATTTCCACCTGCTCGTTGCCTTTGAGCTTCCGCTTCCTTGGCTTTCTCATGCCAGATTTCCCCTTGCTTTTCCACCTGCGCGACTTTGTTCACCAAGTTCTGCACCATTTCCCCCCTCCTGACATACTCTGTGATCAAGGACGAAAAAGTAGATTTCAACGCCTCCACCTGTCGCTCGCTCAAAACTCCTGGTGTGCCCGGGTCTCCAACATTGGAATACAGTAATGCAGGATGGAGCGGTGGGAAGCCAGCAGATGTTAGCTGTGCGGAGAGATCCTGCAAAGCTGCCGACTTCAAGTGATGGTTAATATGAGCCAACGATAAAAGGCCCTAGTTTCCCTACCTGATACTCAGCCAGTCCATGCATAGATCTAGAGCGAGTGGATATCAGAGGATCCGTTGGCCTAAAGGTGCCAAGTTCTTCTGTCACCGAAGGCAACCTGCTCCGAAAAACGTCCCCTGAGGCGCTCGTAAATCTGTTTGAAGGTCCATCTGATACTGGACCTCCCCGGCTGTCCTGAATATCATGACTGCTCTGTCTCTCCAAACCCCTGATCGGCTTCACGGTGGAATCTGTTAACACATTTGAAAATGCGCGAGAGTTGGTGTTCAGGTCCGCTGTCAGCGTTGCACTACGAAGTGAGTTGGTATGCAGGGGAGCACTTCGAGTGCCCGTGATATCCGGTTCATTTTCAACCGCGTGTGGTGCTGGGTCGTTTCGAAAAGGAGGGTTTAAGGCGGCAGTTGGGGGAGATCTTCGTCCTGAGGTCCCGAGGTAGGATGGCGCTACGTCAGCAGGTCTCCTCTGTTCGTAACTAGATGGTATTCTTTCGTGCTCGCGAGCGGTTTTACGGAATTCGGTGTCGGATGGGAATGTTCTTGGTAGCTCTTCCTCGGATGCCCCAAGTTCAAAACGACCCTACAATAGTCTCGGTAATCACAATCGCCATCATGTACGAAAAGATAAATACCACAACATACATCAGCCTGTTCTCTGCTCCCAACATGAGGGATCCTAGATGTGTTGGAACTCGGTGAAGAGTCGGTAGTATTATAACTCTGTAGATCCAACACCTTGGAGATGGACGGTGTTGAGATCTCAAGATCTCTCCGAAGAGCCGCAAAGTCGACGTTTTTCTCAGCACCAGACCCCTCAAGCAAGTACCGCACGAAATCCTCCGTGTCTGTATGATCTATCGACGTATAGGTCAAGTACGAGACGATACTGTTAAAAACGCGCTCTCTGTCACAACGTGGATCACAGGATCACAGGGCAAAGAAGGGTATTCGAAGCCACGCAAGCAGAAGAAATGAATAGTTCATGCTAACCTATCGCCGAGGTGGCAGCCCTCGAGTGTCCTGGTGAGGTTACGCGACTCGTCACGCTGGCCGTGAGCACCGACTCTTGAAAGTTGCTTGACGGTCTCCTCAGACTCATTGGCTCCACGCCCGCACAGTTTTAGGCTACAAGTAATATGCAAAGTATCCCCTTAACCTTCGCTTATTGAATAGAACTCAAAGGACGCCGGCCGGCTCGACCGAAGGGGTTAGGATACAGGTGAGAAAGACCAAGGGGGCTCCTGACGTCCAAAGGCACTCCGCGATACGATCACGTGTGACTATGCACGTGATTAGGCTGTCTGCCCGATCGGACAGTGTGTGTTATCCTTCAAAACTCAGACCGACCAGCCCTGATAGCTATCTTCCGGCATCTGTGCCAGCAACGGCATCGGGCAGGTCCAAACAGGTTCAAAACAGTACATCCTACAATTATAGCTTTTGTTTCTCTGTACGGGAAACGAAGCGGTGTTTGAGGTCATGAGCCGACAGTCTGCTCTCCAAAAGTTGCGAGAACGACGAGCAGGGGGCTCGTCAAGACTTGAAGAATATGAAGTAAGTCTTCCTTCCAAGTCATCACTCTGCGTTCAGAGCCAAAGAAAAATGAAATCTAATAGTCCAAATGTACCAAAAGGTGGAAGAAGATGCGCACATTTACGATGAGATCACGGAGGATGAATACACAGCCATGCGGCGTCAGCGAATGTTGGAAGGCGACAACTTTGTAATTGACGACGATGGGCTTGGCTATGTCGATTACGGACAGGATGAGTGGGCCTCTGGCAATTCTGATGACAGTGGCAGTGATGTCGAGGTGTATGACAAGGACGACGCGAAAGGTTAGCGAGCGTCTAAAATCGCTTTAACATAATGTCGGGTGCTCATAGCTCGGGATGTACCTCTCAGGGAAGCGAAAACGAGGCAAAGGGAAGGATAAAGAAAAGGATAAACAAGGGGGAGATATCAAAAACTTGTTTAATAAACAATCCAAGAACCCGAAACCTAAACCAAAGCCTGTTGTTGCGGTAAGGCTATCTTCCTCTACTGTCAGCGAACGCATCAGGCTTAAATATGACTACGATTAGAACACGGTGTCGGCAGAAAAGGAGGAGGATCTTTTGGGATCGATTTTCAACGACTTGGACAATGAAGTTGATTTGCATGCTCCAAAACGACCAAAAGTCGAGCATACGGCCCCAGTCTTGACTAGTACGTCTTCCTCCACAATTAGAAAAGAAGCCGCGAACCCGTTTATAGTAGATCAAGAGGATCGTGCTAGAGAATCCTTGGGCAATGGAAAAAACGTACGTCTGCTTTTTCTTTGCGCTCCGATTGTTTATACTGAACAGGGTGTTCACATTTCCAGACTATAATCAATGAAATCGCGGTTAAAGTTGAGCCTATCCATCAGGACCCTTACGATTTTCAAACTCAGGAGGCATTTGACATGGGGGCGCCAATGGATGATGATGATGATGTGGTCCTGGTTGAAGAAGTTTTCCCTATCAACTCGTTAGTCGAGCCACACTCGTGTCCGGCTATCAAAGTGGAGGAGCCCGAGGATAGCGATGTGGTGGAGGTCCAAGTGAAGCCCTTGCAAACAAAAACGGGTAAACGCACAGCAGCTGCTAGTTTTGTACCAAAGTTTGAGCGGGTAGATGCAAAAGCGGAACCCACCGTGGTGTCGGCACCGACAAGATCGAATTGTCAGGGATGGATGTCTATGAAAGATTCTATTGCTGTGCAAGGTGTAGAGTCTTCACAGCCGGGGCCGGGGCCCACAGCGGTGCGGCCAGCTGATGTGCTCGAGGAAGATGGATCGTTAAGAATGTATTGGCTTGATGCTTTTGAAAAGGATGGCGTAGTGTATTTGTTTGGAAAGGTACGGAAGTTTATGTAATGATGTTGCCGCTATGGGATACGGATGTTTACCGACACATTATAGGTCCTGAAAAAGAAGGAAGGGAGCTACGTTTCCTGCTGCGTTATAGTCAACAATATGCAGCGAAACGTTCTGGTTTTGCCAAGAGAAAAAATGCTGGATGACGACGGACACCAAACCGACATTGAAGTCGAAATGCCTGACGTGTACAGCGAATTTGACGCGCTCCGGAAAAAGTACAAGATATCCGAGTTTGCTTCCGCAAAGGTTTCCCGCAACTACGCCTTTGAGATTCCTGGTGTGCCCGCTGAATCGGATTACCTTAAAGTCGTTTATCCGTTTTCGCAGCCCGCGCTGCCTGCTGGGTTGAGCGGCAAGAGCTTTAGTCGGATGTTTGGCACCAACACGAGTGCCCTGGAACTGTTTATTCTTAAAAGAAGACTGATGGGCCCATGTTGGGTCGAGATCAAGGACGCCAATTTGACCAACAAGAACATTTCATGGTGTAAAATCGAAGTCACAGTGGATAACCCGAAAACGTTGAATCCTTTCCGAGAAGACGACTCGTCTGCGCCAAAGCAGGCCCCGCCACTGGTGGTCATGAGTCTCTCATTGAGGACCGTGATGAACCATAAAAAGCACATTAACGAGATTGTGGTCGCTAGTGGACTGGTGTATCACAATGTGAATCTTGACGGCGTGACGACGGATCAGCAACAACCAACGAGATTTACGGTTGTTCGACAGTTGGAAGATATTCCACTTCCTGCTGGGTTCAATACGCTTTTACAGCAGCAAAAAACAAAAGTGGAAATTCTTCGCAACGAGCGAGGGTTGCTTGGGTTCCTGATTGGTGAGTCTGTGCTTGAAAGGACCACTTGCTAGACGTTTGGATTTGACATTGTGCTTATATATAGCCCAGATTCATCGAAGTGATCCCGATATCATTGTCGGACACAATTTCATCGACTTTGACTTGGATGTACTGTTGCATCGTATGAAATGGCATAAGGTTGATCAGTGGTCCAAGATTGGTCGATTGCGGAGAACAAAGTAGGTGGCTTGTAGGACTTGCGATTTGTGAGAACGTGGACTCATTGGATTGAATAGATGGCCACATCTGCAAAAGGGGGCTGGTGGTACCGCGGATTCAACGTTTGCGGAGAGGCAGATTGCTAGCGGACGACTGCTATGTGATACCTATCGGGCAGCGCAGGTGAATAATGAATGAGTAAGACCTGTTAGTCTATATATGATACTCATTTGCGGTTCAATCGATAGGATTTGATCAGGTCAAAGAGTTACAGTTTGACGCAGCTGGCTGCATCTCAGCTAAAAGTGGACCGGCCCAACATTGACTATGAGAAAATTCCCACATATTTTTGGGATGCGGGAAAACTTCTTGAAATGATCCAACACTGTGAATTTGACGGGTACCTTCAAGCTCAGTTGATGTTTAAGCTTCAGGTCCTGCCACTGACGAGGCAACTCACGAACCTTGCCGGCAATTTGTGGGCGCGTACAATGACTGGAGCGCGAGCCGAACGAAATGAGTATCTTCTCCTTCATGAATTCCATAACAAAAAGTTTGTAGTCCCGGACAAGATCTTTGGTGGGAAGAAAGTAATTACAGATCAGCTTCATGAAATGGAGGACGAGGGTCAACCACAACCCAAGCAAGGCAGCAGCCGACGAAAACCGGCGTATGCGGGTGGTCTCGTGCTGGAACCAAAAAAGGGATTTTACGACAAGTTTGTTTTGTTGCTTGATTTTAACAGTTTGTACCCTTCGATTATCCAAGAGTACAATATCTGTTTCACGACGGTCGATCGGTCATCTGATGGGGAAGAGGGTCAGATGCCGGATGTACCGGATCCGGATCTCGCCAAAGGCATCTTGCCAAAACTCTTGGCTGCCCTTGTTGAACGGCGTCGAGCCGTCAAGAACCTAATGAAAGACCCTAAAGCCACGCCTGCTCAACTGGCGCAGTATGATATCCGACAAAAAGCTCTGAAATTGACTGCTAATAGTATGTACGGATGTCTTGGGTTTTCCCATTCTCGATTCTACGCCAAACCCCTCGCGATGCTCATCACGAGCAAGGGACGAGAGATTCTGCAAAACACGGTGGACCTTGCCGAACAAGAGCACCTCGAAGTCATTTACGGTGACACGGACTCCATCATGATTCACACCAACACGCATGACTTGGCTCAAGTCAAGAAAATTGGGAACGAGTTTAAAAAAGCCGTAAACAAGCGGTATAACCTTTTGGAGATTGAGATGGATGGGTATTATCAGCGTATGTTGCTTTTAAAGAAGAAAAAGTATGCTGCGCTGAGTGTTGAAGAAAAGGATGGGCGGTTGCAGACTGTGTTGGAGACTAAGGGGTTGGATTTGGTGAGAAGGGATTGGTGTGGGTTGAGTCAGGATGTTAGTAGGTGAGTTTATTTTTGTCGAAACGGTTGAGTGTTTGTAATACGCTCTTGTGCTGATACGTTTCTTATGGACAAGTTACATCTTGAACCAAATCTTTTCGGAAGATGACAAGGAAAACGTTTTGGACAAGATCCATGCGTACCTGTCCAAAGTCGGTCAAGAAGTCCGACAAGGACTCGTTCCTCTTGAGAAATTCATTATCAACAAGAGCCTAACTAAGAACCC